TAATCTACTTAAATAGTTGTAATAAATCTACTTCTAATATTTCTAGCAATGTCATTCTGTATGAGCACAGTAAGAGATATAAACTTAGTTTGGTTCTTCCTGAGAACATCTCACTCTACATTCCGCATCCTCAGGCCGGTTAATCTTCCTAGCTCCAGCAGGGTCCTAGTCTCGTCGTTACTTACTTTTGGATCATGACAGCATTTGTCCATGATCATGCCCTCAACTTATAGGTGAGTATCGTGGCTCTTTGGCCTGGCCCATTTCGATGCCAGGGTAGCTCACAGCTTGCCCTGGGTCCATTCAGTCCCTCATCGGGACCCTGCTTTTGGGGTGCTAGGAACTAAGGGCAACTGAGTCAAGAAAGCAGATGCCCAAGAGTAAATATTATTCGGAGTCAATCAACTCCCAAGTTACAAAGCATAATATTAACTGTCTTCCTGTGTCCACACAGAAAGGACATTGCTTACAATACAAGTTCAGTGTCCTTAGATGGGTGTGACCCAATAAACCTAAGCTATCTGAGGAAGGACAAAACGGTGTTATCCTACACTGGATATCTAGCAACACGCAGGACAAGCGCCTTATCTGCTAATACTATCTCTTCAGCCCCATCAGTTTTTCTTCTTAGGTTTTCCCTACTTTTCCTATAATGGTATTTTAATTATACGTTAATAATTACGTCACCGTTTACTGAGCATTACTATTTTCCAGGTACTATGCTAAGCATTTCTAGTATATTAAATATTTTTATTCCCTTAGGAGGGTCCAGCCAGCAGTTCTGGAGGCCATTCCTAGCAGTGCTCAGAGACTGAACCCAGGACTGTGGCACGCAAAGCATGTGCTCTAACCCTTTGAAACATCACCCGGGCTTAATAATCTAATTCTTACAACTCTATGAAGTCAGCATAATTATTATCCAGTCTACAGATGATTAATAAAATAAAAATAAATAAAGGCCCTCCCGTTGATCGTCGATTTGCTCAAGCGGGCCCAGTAACGTCTCCATTGGAGACTTTGTTGTTACTGTGTCTGGCATATCGAATACTCTCGGTAGCTTGCCGGGCTCTCCGAGAGGGGCGGAGGAATCGAACTCGGGTCGGCCATGTTGGCCGCTTGTAAGGCGAACGCCCTACCCGCTGTGCTATCGCTCCAGCGGGAAAAAGTTTGCCCAAAATCAAAGCGCTAAGAAGTGGTGAAGCCAGATTCAAACCCAAGCGGACTGGCTCCAGAGCCGAACCTTTTGATCACTGTGCACAATACCCTCTCAAACTGAGAAAGGCAAGTTGCTAAACAGTACCTAGAGGAGGGGCTGAAATGACAGTACTGTGGGTAGGGTGCTTACCTTAAACAATTGTGCTTGATCCCCAATACCTTATGGTCCCCGAAGCCCTGCCAGGAGTGACCTGAGCAAAGCCAGGACTAAGCCCTGAGCACTGCCAGGTATGTCCCACCACACCCCCAGTAAAAAGAAAAGTATATGTAGACTTTTTTTGGGGGGTGGGGAGTGTGCTACCCCCAGTTTGGCTCTTAGGGGTGACTCCCACTGGTTCTCAGGGGACCATGCAATGCTGGAGATAGAACCTGAGTCAGATGTGTGCAAGGCAAGCACTTTAATCCCCGTACAGTTCTTTGGCTTTGTAGATATTTTAACTGAGATTATACTTTCAATCTAGGTACTATAAGTCTCAAAGATTCTTTTTTTGAGCAGAGGGCGTAGCCTCCCAAGAAGAGTTCAGGGCACCTGGGACCAGTTGTTCCTAGTGATTCTTGCTAACCAGGGTGAGCGGTTCAGTGTGAGTATCCGAGGATGTGGTGCTGTTTCGGCACCACGGTGCCAGGAACTACAAACCTTCTTCTTTTTTTTTTGGGGGGGGGGGGGGGGAGGGTAAGGGCACACCCTGAAGGTTCAGAGCTTCCTCCTTGGTTCTGCAATCGGAGGTCACTCCTGGTAGTGGGGATTATATAGTGCCAGGAATTGAACCCAGGTGAGCTGCGTGCAAGGCAAGTGCTGTACCTGCAGCATTATCACCAAGGTCCCCAAAATTTAATTAAAAAATAAATCAGTTATCCTGGTGCACCATTCTCGAGTTGCCCATATTCCAGCTTAGGGTTTTTAGATTTCCCCTGTAACTGTTCGTAGGGCTGCATCCTCCTTCAGTGCCCCCCCTTACCCCCTTAAGTCTGTTGAGTTTTTTTTTTTTTTTGCTTTTTGGGTCACAGCCGGCAATGCACAGATGTTACTCCTGACTCTGCACTCAGGAATTATTCCTGGCGGTGCTCAGAGGACCATATGGGATGCTGGGAATCGAACCCGGGTCAGCCGCGTACAAGGTAAACGCCCTATCCACTGTATTATCGTTCCAGCCCCAAGTCTACTAACTTCTTAAACAAAAAAGAAAATTGCGATTCCCAGCATCCCGTATGGTCTCCCGAGCATCACCAGGAGTAATTCCTGACTGCAAAGCAGGAGTAACCCCTGTGCATCTCCAGGTGTGACCCAAAAAAGAAAAAAAAAATCACTTTAAAAACAAGTCAGTTAAGGGGGCTGGAGCAATAGCACAGTGGATAGGGCATTTGCCTTGCATGCGGCTGACCCGGGTTCGATTCTCAGCATCCCATATGGTCCCCTGAGCACCGCCAGGAGTAATTCCTGAGTGCAGAGCCAGGAGTAACACTGTGCACCGCTGGCTGTGACCCAAAAAAGAAAAAAAAAAGTTAGTTAAAAAATTAAAAAATAAATAAATAATGAAAACAAGTCAGTTATCCTTAGGATTGTGGATGCAGTTCAGAGGCAGGAAGCAGGTCTCTATTTGTCAAGCATGAGAAACAACTGTTGGTTGTAAATAACTTTTGGAAGCCAGCTCTGGCCTGGGCAGCCAGTCATGCTGCTAGGCTGCGCCCTGGAGTTATTCCTCCCTATCTCGTCTCCAAGTGCTGCACGCTGTCAGAGGGACAGGTTATCATTCCAAGGGGCATGTCTCATAGGGCTCAGCCGCTCCCTGACCTGGAGGCAGAAGCCTCAAAAAAAAAAAAAAAAAAACACAGGGAAGTTATAGTAGGCTGATCTGGCCTTCAGTCCTTGATACAGAGAGCATATCGCCCCTATAGTATCACGGTAAGTGATCCCTGAGTCAGTTTTTAAAAAATTAAAACCAAATCAAATTGAAACGCTGAACTCAAGCAGCATGAGTGGCAGGGGTGTCTCCTTTAGGCATTTAGGATTCTGTTAACTCCTGACCTAAACATTCTAAACCTGGAGCTCGTAGGGTAGTGCACTTACCTGTTTGACTAGGGTTCAGCATCCCATATGGGCCCCTGAGCCAGGAATGATTCTTGTTTTTTTTTTCTTGTTGGGTCACTCCTGGTGATGCACAGGGGTTACTCCTGGCTCTGCACTCAGGAATTACCCCTGGCAGTGCTCAGCAGGGGTCCATGATGCTGGGAATCTGAACGTGGGTCGGCCACATGCAAGGCAAACACCCTACCCGCTGTGCTATTGCTCCAGCCACCAGGAATGATTCCTGAGTGCAGATTCCAGGAGGAAGCCCTGAGCACCACTGCATATGGCAAAAAAAAAAAAAATCCTAAACTCAAATTGGAAACTGTACACACTGTCTACACAACCTCCCTTTAGAAAAACATTAGAGACACTTCTACCCTTAGTTTATATTTTAGGGTAGCTGGGCACACTGTTGACAATTCTTGGCAAAACATGAGGGTAAAGTCAGCTGGACTTGCCAGTTTCCCTGTACCAATACTCTCTTCTCTAGGCCCTGAATGAAATAGGTGTGTGGCGGGCCAAGGGCTGTCCAATTGCCATGCCTGCAAACCACCAGTTTGAGCTTCAGGGATAGGGGCGCCCAGGAACTTCAACCTCTAGTTCAGGATGTCTTAGGTACCTCAAAACTAAACCATCTTATCTCTTTCTCCAGCTGATGAAAGTCAAGTTCTTCTCATAAGCAGCCTTAGGTGATCTCAAAATAGTTCAAAATTCACCTGATCCAGAAAACTACAAAATCGTGCAAAAAATAAAAAGCCGTTAAAATCTTCATGTTCTTTTTCTTTTCCCAGTTTTGGGACCAACCAAGCCAAGTTTTGGGGCTTCTTCATGCTCTGTGCTAAAACTTAAGTATTCTTCAGGCAAAGTATATGCTCAATCCATTGATCGTTCAAGCCCCTTCTCGTTCATTTTTAAACACTCAAAAAAAAAAAAACCCAGATACAGAGAGATAGTACAGCAAGAAGCGGTGCTTGTCTGCCATGTGGCTGAACCTAGTTCAATCCTGGCATCTTGTATGGTCCCCCAAGCTCACCGGGAGTGATTAGTGAGTACAAAGCCAGGAGTAAACCCTAAGCATTGCTGGATGTGGCTCAAAAACAAGCAATTTGTGCGGGCCAGAAAAATAGTACAGGGGTTAAGAAGTTTGGCCTGCATGTCCCTGACCTCAGTTCGATCCTAGGTATCACATATGGTCCCCCATGCACCTCCAGGGAGCTCTTCAGCACAGAATCAGAAATAGCCCCTCATCACTGCCAGGTATGGCCCCAAACTCCCCCAATTAAAAAAAAAAAAGACTCATGACATTGCCCATGCCAGCAAGGAGATACAAACTCCATATCGCCAAGTACTTGAAGGATGTCAATATCCAGAAGCCATAAGTGCTACTCCACTATTCCAAAGGCAATGGTTAAGTCTGCTCAGGCCGGAATTTTTACTGCATGTTTCAAAATGCGGACAGTAAGACCAGAGAGAGACAGTACAGTCAATAGGGAGCTGACCTTACACGAGGTAACCGAGGTTAGATCCCTGAAACCCCATTAGTCCCCCAAGCCTACTCAGGTGTGAACCCTGACTGCGGAGATGTGTATTTGTGCGTTAGTCATGCAAAGCTTTACGCAGAAAGGAGGTTTTAAGAACCAGATTGTCAAAAGCAAAAGGAACTCAGATTAGCAAAGAGATAAAGCATCTAATGGGATTCTAAATCAGGGCTCTTTACCTTCCAAGTGTTGGGGGGCAGGTTCCCTGATCACAAGGCTCCAACCCCCTGAGGCCTCCACTCAGTGCCACACAAGAGACGCTTCCAGTGACCCATCTCGTTGACTATTCTCCAACTGAGCCTTCCTTCCTAGTGACCAGCTCCATCGCCAAGGGGACAAATGTGATGTCACAATCAGGAGCACTCTATTAACAGGAACAAGGAAGAAAAAAAAAAAAAGAAGTGAGTCAGGGGAACTACTTCCATTTGAAAGCAAGACTGGCCAGACTTGGACATGACTGTTTGTGGGGAAGATGACACAACTTCACTAGGGACCAGAGCTTTCAGGGTTAGGCGTACAGGACTTCCCCCTAGTAGTGAGGTCATGGGGGCAGGAGAGATAGTACACCTGGTAGGGATTTACCTTGCACACAGCTGACCCAAGTTCAATTCCCAGCATCCCGTATGATCCCCCCAAGTACCGCCAGGACTAACTCCTGAGCATCACTTGGTGTGGCCGAAAAACCAAAAAATAAAAGTGACATAACCTAAGGAATCCCAATCCAGGAGACTTAAATCCCATATGGTTCCCTGAGCACCACCAGGGTTGATTCCTGAGTCCAGAGCCAGGAGGAACCCCTGTGCATCGCCAGGCGTGACCCCAAAAGCAAAATATAAAAGGTCAAAGATAGAGGCTTTTTCCGCTCTGCAGAAACCCGTGTTCTCTCTTGTACACCTATTTTCTCTCACTCTCTCCTCTCGTGTCTTTAATACTGAGTTTCAAATAACTACCTCACAAATACACACACGATTCAAGACAAAATGATCATTTTATTAGTGCACACAAGTATTGTCAATGACTGTCTATAAAATTCACAGATCTATGCTTAACATGTACTATATGATTCTTTGCTCCTTCCAAAGTACTTTCACAGGGGTGGAACGATAGTACAGCGGGTGGGGCGTTTGCCTTGCACGCAGCCAACCCGGGTTCGATTCCCAGCATCCCATATGGTCCCATGAGCTCCGCCAGGACTAATTCCTGAGTGCAGAGCCAGGAGTAACCCCTGTGCATTACCGGGTGTGACCCAAAAAGAAAGAAAAAAAAAATTCTGGGGCCTGGGATGTGGCTCGGCAACAATGCACTTGCCTTGCATGTGTGAGGCCCTGGGTTTGATGCACAGCACACCAAGATAAACAAAAAAAGTGGCATTATGCCCAACTTGTAAATACTATCTTTTGATTTGTTTGTTCTATTTTGGGGCTCTGCACTCCAGGGGTCACTCCTGGAAATGCTCATATGGGGATAGAACCTGGGTCATCCGAGTGTAAGGCAAATGCCCTAACCACTGGATGTACTATCATCCAGTCCCTGTAAACCCTACTTCATCAGAAGATACTCAAGAATACAGGTGTAGGACAGGAGACTCAATGGACTGAGCACATGACTTGCACATGGGAGGCCAGGTTTCAATCTCCAGCATCACATATGATTGCTCCAGGAACCACTAAGAGCCACTCACAAGCACAGAGCCAGCAATGGTCCCTGAGCACTGCTAGGTGTGGCCCCAAAACAACAAAAATAACATTAAATTTAAAACCTCATTTAAAAGGGGGGGTAGGGCCAGAGTAATGGTATCGACGGTAGGGCGTTTGCCTTGCACGTGGTGGAACAGCACTGGTTCTCCAGCATCCCATATAGTCCGCGCCAAGTACCGTCAGAAGTAATTCCTGTGTGCAAAGCCAAGAGGAACCCCCGAGCATCACCAGTTATGGCCCAAAAAGCAAAAAAAATGTTTAAAGGGTGGGGGGTGCAGAGCAATACAACAGTGGGTAGGCACTTGTCTTGCACGAGGCTGACCTTACTGCAATGCCTGGTACCCCATAAAGAACTCAGGATCCCTGAGCCAAAAATGTTTTTAAAAGAAGTTAAAAAAAAGAAAAAAAAAATTTTTCATTAAAAAAAATTGAAAATGTAGCCACATATACAAGTCTATAATCCTATGAGTCCTAGCTTTAAAAATAAACAGGAGGGGGTTAGATAGCACAGTGGGTAGGGCGCTTGCTTTGCAAGTGACAAACCCGGGTTCGATTCCCAGCATCCCAGCATCCCATATAGTCCCCTGAGAGTAATTCTGAGTGCAGAACCCTGTGCATTGCCAGGTGTGACTCAAAAAGCAAAATAAATAAATAAACAGGAGGGTCTGGATTATACAGCATACAGCAAATAGGACATTTGCCTTGCACATGGCTGACCGAGGTTCAATTCCCAATACCCCAGACGGTTCCCCAGCACCACCTGGAGAGATCACCACCTGGAGAGTACAGAGCTAGGGATAATCCTGAGCATCCTGGGTGTGGCTCAAAAACAAAAAATAAATAAAATGCAATAATGGGAGACTGGTGGTAGCATTGGTATTTAAACACTATATGCCTAAAACTCAAATATGAATAATTTTTTTAATTACAGTACCGCAATAAAATTTTTCAAATAGGGGCCAGACAAAATTTTAAAAAGCACACGCACACGCACACACACACACACACACACACACACACACACAGTGGAGGGCATAGGAGGTAGTACAGGAGCTAGGGCACTTGTTCTGCACACAGCTGAGGCAGTAACAACAGTTCAAATACTGGCGCACTGGCACCACAGGGTTCCCCAAGCAAACACAGTGTGGCCCCCAAAAGAGAGGTGCCAGAGAGAGAGCTCAGCAAGCTGAGTGTGTATTTTGCACGTAGGGCACCAAGTTTGATCCTGATGGTCAGTCCCTTGAGCAACACCAGCAGGTCTGGCCCAAAAGTCACGGTCACAGTCCTCCCGTTGTTCACTGATTTGCTCGAGCGGGCCCAGTAACACCTCCATCTCCATCGTGAGACTTGTTACTGTGTCTGGCCCAAAAGTAAAACAAAAAAATAATAAAAAGCTAGTGAGCTAAAAATTGTTCTAAGAGAGGTAATGGGGAGTCCAGAAGTAGCAGGTGGATGGGGCTGGAGCAACGGAACAGTGAGTGTGGTGCTGGCTTGGTCTTCTAGCCCGTATTCTCCCTTGAACGTGCTTTTCTCTGTTTCTTTGTTTGCGATTTCTACTCAGGAGAGGCCTGTGTTCTCCCTCGAACATGTACTTTACCCTTTCTCACCCATCGCAGCTTTCTAAATTAGTTTCAATAAAAACTTTCTTGCTTCAACACCACCAACAAAAACAGAATAAAAACAATGGTGCTTGCCTTGCATGAGGCCAACCAATATTTAATCTTTAGCACCACATACGATCTCCCAAGTCTCACCAAGAGTGATGCCTGAGTGCAGAGTCAGCCTGAGGGGGAAAGAAGGGAGAGGGGAGCGCAAAGTGACAGAATGGAGGGGAGGGAGTTAGCCTTGCACCCGGTCACATGGCCAACCAGAGTTCAATCTCTGGCATCCCATATGGCCCCCCGAGTACCGCTAGGAGTAATTCTTGAGAACAGAGCCAGGAATAAATAACCCTTGAGCGTTGCCAGGTGTGACCCCCCCTTAAAAAAAGCCAAAAGAAAAAAATAAAAATCAGGGCTTTGCACATGACTAACCCAGGCTGGATCTCCAGCACCACATAAGGTTCTCTGAGCACTATCGGGAGGAGCTAGACTAGAGCACTACAGGATATGGTCCAAAACCAACCAACCAAACAAACAAACAAAAAAAAGCAGTGAGGATATATTCCAAATTAAATTTAAAAAAAAAAAAAAAACATTGAGGGGGGGCTGGAGAGATAGCACAGCAGGTAGCGTTTGCCTTGCACGCGGCCGACCCGGGTTCGATTCCCAGCATCCCATATGGTCCCCTGAGCACCGCCAGGAGTAACTCCTGTGCATCGCCAGGTGTGACTAAAAAAGCAGAAAAAAAAAAAAAAAGGGGGGGGGCCAGGGTTATAATACAGTAGGTAGGGTGCTTGCCTTGCATTTGGCCAAACCAACTTCAAACCCCAGAACCCTATATAGTCCCCCAAGCCTCCCAAAAGTGATCCCTGGGTTCAGAGCCGAAAGGAAAGAAAAGGGAATATCTAGTATAGTGAGTAGGGTGTTTGCCTTGTATGTGGCCCACCTGGGTTTGTACTGGCACCCAGTAAGGTATATCAAGCACCACCAGTAAAGAGCCAGTAGTAAGCCCAGAGTACCGTCAGGTGTGGCTCAAAAACAAACAAGAATCTCCCAACACTAGGGCTGGAGAGAGTACAACAGGGAGGCAACAGGTGCTTGCCTTGCATGCAGCCAACCTGGGTTCGATCCTGGCATCCCATACGGTTCCCAGCACTGCCAGGAATAATTCCTGAGTACAGAACCAGGAGTAAACCCTGAGCAGCCCTGGGTATAACCCAGACAAAAACAAAACAAAACTCTCACACTATAAGGAATAGCAGTTTTTCATACTTTTCCTGACCATCAAATGTCTGTATCAGTAGCTTCGAGAAAGAAACAGAATGATGATTTAAATATATAAAACACAGCAATAGTAGGTAAGGCACTTACCTTAGCCTGTACATGGGGTTTGATACCTAGGGATGGCATATAGTCAACCTGCCCCTCACTCCCAGGAATGATCTCTTGAGCACAGAGCCAGGAGTTAAGCCCCAGATGTGACCAATTAAAGTAAATAATCAGAGACGCGAGCTCAGAGGGGGAAAAGGTCAAAGGGCTGGAGTGAATGTTCTGCATGCAAAACCAAGTTCAATCCCCAGCTCCATATAGTGAGTTGAAAGCTAGAGAAAGGGCACAACAGGAAAAGTATTTGCCTTGCACGTGACCTACCGGGGTTTGAGCCCCAAGCACCTCGAAAGATCCCGTGCTCTGCCAGGAGAGATCCCTGAGCACAAATAGGAGTAAGTCCAGAGCAAGCTGGTATGTCCCAAAAACAGAACCAAACCAGACAAAAATAGTACAGTGGGGGTAGGCATACGGCTGACTTGGGTTCGATTCTGTCATTCCAAGTGGTCCTCCAAACGCCAGGAATAACTCTAAGCACAGTTGGGTGTGGCCCAAAAAAACAAACAAAAAAGAATGAGAGGGGAAAAACAAACAAAGTTTCCTATATAGGGCAAGGAGAGCAGTTATGTCCTTTCTCCCAAAACCTCCAAAACCGGTGCCTGCACCTCGAAGGTAAAATGCATCAGGTGGAATGAAGCATAGTGCAGTGGGTAGGGCATCTGCCTCGAGCACCGCGAATCTGAGTTCAATCCTTGGATCCATCCTCAGCATTTCATTTCGTATGGTCCCCAAACCCCACCAGGAGTGATCCCAGAGCACAGCTGGGTGTGTGGCCCAAACACAAAAGGGGGGGGGGGAATGCCAGTGCTATTAGCTGTGCTATCTTATAGCCTCAAGTTTCAGACTCAGAAAGCAGAGTTTGGGGCTACAGGGGAGAAAACAAGGATCCCTTGAACAGAACAGGACTTGGCAACTAAGAAGAGACCCAGAAGTCTGAAGACTGGTTCTGCTGTTTTGCTCCCAGCTCTGGCCACTATATAACTTTATACAAGCCACATAACCTTGTATAGTTCTCAATTTCTTCACTTGCCAAGTAGGGAAATACTTATCTACTTTTTATGTTGCCCTGAAAATTAAATGAGATTTTAAAAAAGAAAAAAACCGGGGCCATGAAACAAAAAAAATTTAATTAAAAAAAAAGTGTGTGTGTGTGTGTGTGCGTGCGCGCGCGCACGGTGGGGGGGGCGGGTCTGGATAGTATGGATAATACAGTGAACAGTTCAATCCCCAGCATCCCAGAAGTAATTCCTGAGTGCAGGGCCAAGAGTAAGCCCTGGGCATTGCCAGATATGGTCCCAAAAGCAAACAAAAAAAGGGCTGGAGCGATAGCACAGTGGGTAGGGCGTTTGCCTTACATGTGGCCGACCCAGGTTCGATTCCCAGCATCCCATATGGTCCCCCAAGCACCACCAGGAGTAATTCCTGAGTGAAGAGCCAGGAGTAACCCTGTGCATTGCGGGTTGTGACCCGGAAAAAAAAAAAGTAAAAGCATAAAGAATAAAGCACTCTTAATACTCCTATCTTTAACAGTTTCTTTGGAGTTTTATGTTTTGGGGGGCTTTTTGGTAGTAACTGAATAGTAACTTTAAGTACTAAGGGTTAGATAGGAAGTGCTTGTAAAATTCTTTCAGGTAGGGTGTTTACCTTGCACGTAGCCGACCCGGGTTCGATTCCCAGCATCCCATATGGTCCCCTAACCACCACCAGAGGTAATTCCTGAGTGCAGAGCCAGGAGAAACCCCTGTGCATCCCAAAGTGTGACGCCAAAAAAAAAAAAAATCTTTTTAGGCTTTGATAGTTCTGCAGGTAAGGCACTGCCTTGCACACAGCAGTGGACCCAGGTTCAATCCCTAGAGGGACCCACCATCTGGTCCCCTGGGCTCTGTCAGGAGTAATCTCCCAGCAGAGCCAGGAGTAAAACATAAGCCTCCCCCAAACGCCCCTCCTATTTTCTGGTAAAATTTGGGGGGGGGAGGGGGTTGTTTGTGGGTTTCTGAAATACACCAGATGATGCTCTGGGCTACACCTGGCTCTGCGCTCGGGGATCACTTCTGGTGGAGCTCAGTGATGGGAATGAATCTGGGTTGGCAGCACGCAAGGCAAGAACCCTACCCTCTGTACTCTCTTCTTTGCCCTCTCATCCGTCCCTTTTTTTTTTGTAGCAACAAAAACACTAAGTTTAGAGTTCTGAGGGCTGAATAGGAAATGCTTGTAAAAAGCTTGTTTCTTCTTTTCAATTACTGGGAACCCCGCCCGGCCACAAGGTCGGCTGGGCACAGAATGTAGCACCATTATTGCATCACTCAAATTCCCTAGCTCTAATCCCCCTCCCCCCATTCCTCTTTGAGGGGGGCGGGGGAAAAAACAACAAAAAGCAAAAAAAAAAAAAATCAGTTAACGACTCGATCAGCTTCTGGCCCCTATCTATCTTCAGCTTCTTCAAACCACCTGTAAAGGGAAGGGATTTCGATGCTGCACTCTCACAGCCCAGTCCTGGAACGGTTTGGGGCCACGGGGCTCGTGGAGCAGCCACGTTTGCTGGGACGTGGAAGTCGGTTTCTGACCGTAAAAGATGTCCGTCGTCCGCCCCTCGGGCCAAACCCCCTCGGCCCTGCGCGGCGATCCCTCCCCTCCCCTCCCCAGCGCCGGCATCGGGGGGCGCGGGGGGGGCTTTCCGGTGCGCGGAGCCAGCGCCGAGCGCCAGGCTGGAAAGGCAGGGCAGGGATGCGAGGAATGCTGAGATTCCTTCGCGGAAGGGTGGGAGGGAGAGCGGGGAAGGAATGGAGGAGGGCGCCGAGGCTGCCAAAGACAAGGCACGGGAGAGCGGCCAAGCCACGGCGCGCCGAGGGCGGGGGTTCGGGCTCCGCCGCCCCTGCCCAGGCTGGTCCCCGGGTTTCCTCCCTCCCCTCGCCGGACCGTCCATCACTGGCCATTTAAACACCACGTTGTGTCCCCCCCAGCCCCCCGCCGCCACGGTGCCCTCCCCCCAGCCCCCCGGCCAGGCCGGGCCCCTCCCGCCCTTCTCCACGCTTCCTCCGCCCCGAGAACCCTCCCCGCGCCATCCCCCCCCGCCAGCGACCCCTCCTCACCTCAGGGCCGCCCCTACTGTGGCGCCCTTCCTTCGTTTTCCATCTTCACACCCCACCCCTCCCCTGACCTCCTGAATGGCGACACCCCCGCCCCAATCCCCCTGGGACAGCGCCCCCCCCACTCCCCTCCCACACCCGCCTTGCGGTGGGAGCCCACGCAGGCGCAGTACGCACCGCCCTGGAAGCGGTCTGGACTCTCCGAACCCCGGCCCGGTGGAGCTGGGGCTGCAGCGGCCACCGGAGAGCCCCGGAGCCGGGTCCCAGCCGTCCTGGGAGGGGAAGGGGAAGGGGAAGGAGGGAAGAGCGTCCCGACCACTAGTCGCGGCCCGAGACAGATCCCCGGCCCCGCCCACCGCTGCTACGCAACCCGGCGGAAGCGCGTCACCAAACCCCGCCCCTCGGCTTTACTCCGTCCCAGACCAGCCGCCTGGCGCGGTCAACGAGGAGAGGAAAGGGCTAGCCTGGCCTCCGCTTTAGGCCGGAAGTCCTTATGGTCCCTAGCGTGGGCCGTATAGCCATTTGGGAGGGAAAACTCTATGTTCTTCCCCGCGTGGATGTCAGGGCTGAGCCCCGGCCTCCGCCAGCTCCCCCAAAGGTCATTCTTCGCTTTGAAAGGGTGAACGTAGCCCGTGCGCTAAGGCCGGAGCAGCTGGGCGCGGGACCGTCGCGAGGAGGCTGGCCTGCTTGGTGACCTGCATCCGCAAGGCCTCTCTTGGGTTTCCAGAGTCGTGGTTAGCATCCTGGAGCCTCCCGACCCTATGACTCATAGTCATGGGAGTGGAATCTGTAGTCAACAAGGCGACAACCGGGTGGGGATTAGGGGAGTGTCTGACCGCAAAGCTTTGATTTAGGGTACCCTCCGGGTTGCCCTCCTTTTTTCTAGCCGCAGTATTGCCACATGCACGATGGATTCCCCAAACACTCGCAGAGTTTCCCTGAAACACCTACGGGGAGAGAAGGGAGACAAAATGTCCCTCTTCCTAGACTGTGGTTTGATTTCCTTAGGAAACAACACGGTGGTTGGGGGTGTGGGCGGGAGAGAACCTGGGCTGCGAGGAAAGTCAAGGTGGAGTCTAAAGCGCTCTAGGAAAAGGTAAGGAATTAATTAAGTCTAGGAATTAAAATTACATGCCCTCTTAGGTTAACCTGATATTAAATAGGTATTAGTTATGGATATCTGCTGAGCACTTTAGTTTATTTCTATGTACTTGGTTTATACAGAACATTACAGACCTAGTTACCTTTTTGTTGACTATAACAAGTCCTTAAGGTCTGGCCACTTTCATGCTCCCTGGGAGCCTCAGATCTAGAGAGATCAGTGCACTTGGAACTTGGACTATCGTGAATGTTGCTCTCTGCACCCTGGTTGCTTTGCTTCCAAAGAGGGTGAGTAGCCCTATTGTCTGTCTCTGGCGTGAATGCCCCCTTTTCAGAGATGCTGGCCGTGAATGCCCTTTTTTTCCAGGACACTGACCGAATGGAATGGTGCATTACAGAATAGGATCCCAAACCAGGAATAAAAATGAGGGTTAGAGCAGGAGTGGGAGGAAGCTGCCCGCTCTTCTGGGAATTATTTTATTTATTTATTTTTGCTTTTTTGGGTCACACCTGGCGATGCACAGGGATTACTCCTAGCTCTGCAATCAGGAATTACCCCTGGCGGTGCTCAGGGGACCATATGGGATGCTGGGAATCGAACCAGGGTTGGCACGTGCAAGGCAAACGCCCTAACCGCTGTGCTGTTGCTCCAGCCCTATGGGCATTATTTTATATAAAACTTAACGTTTTCTCATCTACAAAATGCAATTAGATATTTAAGATTTGTCGATGAAAGATGAAGTGTTGAATCGGGAGTTTTGAAGACTTTTGTTCGTCGAATTCCAAAACCTCGGTCCTTTTTCGCTGTCTCTTCTTGGCGAGACAGAACCCTAAGTGCTTTCTCATAATATAGCAAAGGAAAATGGGAATCCGAGGCGCCCCCTGGCGATCCATCGGGTGATCCATCTTTCTCCTTTGTGAATCGTGTCGCCGGCTCCTTTAATATCTGAAGTCCGCCCCCTGCGCGGAGGTTGATCTCAGGTGCCGATTGGTTGGACGGGAGAGGCGGGCGGTGCTGATTGGCCGGCGGGGCGCAGAGCGGGGAGCCAGGGGGAAACTTCCGGGAATGTCTGTACTCCCGCGTTCCATTGGGCGGCATCCGGCGGCAGCGGAGCCTGTGGCTCCCCCTGCGGGCGGCTCAGCAGCGTGCACGGGCGAGCCGGTTAGCAGGGTGGGTGGTGGGCTGGGAGTGGGGGTGGGGGGTACCGCGTCCCGGGTTCTCCCGATTTGGGTTCGGGAAGGTGCGGCGAGTGAGATTCCATTCCCCGGCTCTGCACCAGGTTCCGTAGCTCCGTCTCCATCGGCACCCAGACTTTTCGAGAAAAGCATCTTGGGAGGGGGCCCTACGGCTCCGCGGCAGCAGCGCCAGCGACCCCCTCTTCCCACTCCAATTCCGATCGTGAATCGGAGGCCCCCGGGGAAGTTCGTTCCTACGTTCCTAACTTGGAAGAGTTAGAGGGTTTGCGGCTGCCTGATCCCAGCCTAGTTTTGTTCGTCGGGAGGCCTTGGGAAGTGGAGCATGAGGGTTAAGGCTCATGGGTTGAGCCTTCACTCCCCATTTCCCCCCTCTAGTGGGGTTCCGAGGCTCGGGCAGCATGACGACGGAGACCTTTGTGAAGGATATCAAGCCCGGGCTCAAAAACCTGAACCTCATCTTCATTGTACTGGAGACAGGTGGCTATGCTGGGGCGCTGGGGGCGGGGGAGGGGCATCTCCTCGCTCACCCTCCCCTCCCGCGCGGGTGGGAAATCTCCAGGGTGGGAGTGGGAGGGGGAAATTCCTACCGGGTTCTTAACTTACTCCCAGAATGGCACGATGCTCCAAAAGACGCCGCTCCTAACCAGTCTCTCTCCTAGTCCCCTCTCTGGTGGAGAATTAACTGCAGTTGAGTTTGGGGGTTTGGTTTTTGTTTCTTTGGGCCACACCCGTGGTGCTCAGTGCTTACTGCTGGCTCTGTGCTCAAGGATCACTCCTGGTTGGGGGCTCAGGGAGCCATAATGCAGTGCCAGGGATTGAACCTGGTTGACCAAAATGCCCTACTTGCTTTACTGTCTCTCTGGCCCTGCAGTTGAATTTGGAGTAGATTGATTGCCTGACCAGCTTAAGTCTCCAGGACCACAGGAGTTTTCTCATTCGGGTCCCTCTCCATGGTGCTGGCTGGCCCCTCCCTCCATCACCCCCCCACCCCAGCACCTGTCTACCCACCAGAGGAGGGGAACTTGTTTTGGCCTGTCCGCATGCCTTTCCCTCCCCCACCGATCCAGGTCTTGTTCCTCTGACCACCACCTCTCCCATTTATCTATTCTTTCCAGGCCGAGTGACCAAGACGAAAGACGGCCACGAGGTTCGCACCTGCAAAGTGGCAGACAAAACTGGCAGCATCAATATCTCTGTCTGGGACGACGTGGGCAACCTGATCCAGCCAGGGGACATTATCCGACTCACCAAAGGGTGAGCCCCTCAGGGGACCCTCGGGTTATCCAAGGGCAGGATGGGATTAACAGTTCCTGTAACTTTTTTTTTGACTTTTTGGGTGACACCCCTATAACTTTTTTTTTTTTTGGCTTTTTGGGTCATACCCTGTGGTGCACAGGGGTTACTCCTGGCTCATGCACTCAGGAACTACTCTGGCGGGGCTCGGGGGACAATATGGGATGCTGGGGATCGAATCTGGGTTGGCTGCATGCAGGGCAAACGCCTTACCCGCTGTGCTAGCGCTCCAGCCCCAGTCCCTGTAACTTTTACGAATCCTGTTCTTGTGTCCCTGTAGGTACGCTTCAGTGTTCAAAGGTTGTCTGACATTGTACACTGGTCGTGGGGGTGATCTTCAGAAGATTGGAGAGTAAGTGAGGGGATTAGGATGTGGAAACAGCTGGTGGCCCAGGGCAGGGCGGGGGAATGTCAGTCTGCAAGGAGGCAGCCCGAGGCTGTGGTGTCCAATTCCTTCTTGGGACGTTTCTGAGGCTTCCCAAATCACTTCCCTTGCAGATTCTGTATGGTTTATTCTGAGGTTCCGAACTTCAGTGAGCCAAACCCAGAGTACAGCACCCAGCAGGCTCCCAGCAAGACGGTAATGCCTAGGGCCATGTGGGGAACAGGGAGGCCAGGAATCAGGAGGGGGAACAAGGGATGAATGTGTGATTTGTGCCTTCAGGTGCAGAACGATAACAGCCCTACAGCCTCCCCACCTACCACCGGAGCCCCCACGGCTCCTACAGGTAAACCCATTTCCCTTCCTTTCCCTTTCATCTCCTCCTGGCTCCCTCACACTCCCCAACCTGGAAAGCTGCATTTCTCCGGCTGGAACAATAGCACAGCAGGTAGGGCATTTGCCTTGCAGGAAGCCAACCCAGGTTCAATTCCCAGCATTCCATATGGTCCCCCGAGCACCACCAGGAGTAATTCCTGAGTGCACGAGCTAGAAGTAAGCCCTATGCATCACCAGGTGTGACCCAAGGGGGCGGGGGGGGGGGGGGGGAAGCTGCATTTCCCTTGTTCCTTTTGCAAAACTCTCAATATATCTCCTACCTAGGTTTTTTGGGGGGCTTATTTTGGGCCATACTGGGAATGGTCAGGTCTCACTTCTGGCCCTGGCTCAAGATTCATGAGGGATCAGAGAGATAATATAGTAGGTAGGATGTTTGCCTTGCATGCAGCCAACCCAGGTTCCATCCCTAGCATCCCATATGGTCCCTGATTCCTGAGCTCAGAGCCAGGAATAACCTCTGAGCATCACTGGTGTTGCCCAAAAAACAAAAACAAACGAAAAATATCATTCCTGAAGGTACTTTGGGGACCTTATGGATGCTGGGGATCAAATCCAAATTTGCTACAAGTATGGCAAGTTTCCCAAGAGACCAAAGAAGAAGGGACATGAAATTCATTTGAGGGAAGAATTATAATCCTGAGGGTTGAGGCCTAAGAGTCGTGACCCCCTTAGAAGCCCAAGCAATAGTTCAGGGGGTCGGGTGTTTGCCCGTATACTATTCTACACACTATACTATCTCTCTAGCCCACCATCTAGTTCTTCAGCAAGTCCCCTGTAATAAAGATTTGGTAAACTGCTTTTATCACAGACCGAGCACATATGGGTGTTTTTTTTTGGGGGGGGGGGAGGTTTGGACCACACCTGGCGGTGCTCAGGGGTTACTCCTGGCTCAGCACTCAGGTATCACTCCTGGCGGTGCCCTGGTGACCATATGGGATGCCGGAACTTGAAACCAGGTGGGTTGCATTCAAGGCAAACGCCCTACCCCCTGTACTATTGCTTCAGCCCGAAGGGAGTCACCACTCTTCATAAAATAGAAACTTGCTTCTAGGCCTCAATCAATCCTCAGGATTATAATCCTTCCCTCAAATGAATTTCACGTCCCTGCTTCTTTGGCCTCTTGGGGAACTTGGCCTTGTTGCAGATCGTTGACTCTTACCAACACTACCTCCTTTGTTTCCTGCTTCACTGGAACCTGGATTTTTACTGCTCTGCTCTTCTGGGTCATCTTCCTGCAGTCCCTTCCCTCCCTGGGCATTGGCGCTCGCTTGCTTCTGTGCATACCTTTTGTTTCTGCATACTGCTTGGCTGCCAGCTGCCTAGTTTAGGGTAGGTACATCCACCCTTCTGGTTTAGATGTACTGAAGGAGATGTGGTATTTTTTTTTCTCAATAATAATGAAATAATGAGCAACTAGGGAACCAGAGAGATAGTATTTCAGGTAGGGTTATTCCCTTGCACGCAGCTGACCCAGGTTCGATCCCTGTCACCAAATATGATCCTCTAAGCCCTACCAGGACTACCGCCATGTGTGGCCCCAAAACAAAGAAGTGAGCGTCTAGGGTCTGGCATGTGGCGCAGTGGTAGAGCATCACATGTATGAGATCCTAGGTTTGTTCCCAGCTGCAAAAAAAAACAAGTTTACATCCAGGACTGGAGAGATAGTACAGCAGGTTACCTGCTTTGTACACTGCCAATCTGGGTTCAATCCTAGTACCACATATGGTCCCCTGAGCCCAGCCAGGACTAATCCCTGAGCTCAGAGCCAGGAGTAAGCCCTGAGCACCACTGGGTATGGTCTGCCCACTGAAAAAAGTTCGCATCCATGGTTTCTGTAGCATTTGGGCAACTCCAGGGCCTGAAGCCAAGGCCTCCTCACACGTGAAGCTTGTGCTCTGTTGCTGTGCTTCGTCCTTTACCATAGTGTCCGTGTTTTCATTGAAAATAATGCTACCACTTATTCCCATGTCTCCTTGGCTTGGTAGCTAATAGAAAAATATTTTGGGGCCAGAGCAATTGTACGACAGGTAGGGCACTTGCCTTGCACGTGGCCAAACCCGTATGGTCCCCTTGAGCCTGGTTCAAGTGCCTGCGGCTCAGTCCGTCTCGGAAAGCACAAGGGCTTCTCTTAGCACTGCACTGTTGATCAGCACGGCCAGCCACTCCAGACAACTGGTCGACCCACTTCCCCGCACCAGGAGCTTGTCTAGAGCCGATCTGGGTTCTGTCGATCCATATCAGAATTGAATTTTCAACCCACCAGTCGAGAATTACAAAGAGGGGATATATATATATATATTTTTTTAAATAAATGAACACTTTGGCTAAATAAATTTTTTTTTTTTGTAGTTACTCTTTATGTTACTGAGAAAGCTATATAGCTTAGGTTGGTTTATTTTGTTGTTTTTTTGTTTGTTTCTTTTTTTTTTTTAATTTTTGGCTATTTTGTATTTGGGGGATGGATTTTTTCCTAACTTTACCAGAGTTTGCAGCTTATACCTCAACAGAACAGGAATATTTTAAACCATTGCCACTGCAGACAAACTGGAAAAATAATGGTTTCCTAAAAGTTTGAGGGTGTTTTTCTTTTTTCTTTCTTTTTTTTTGGGGGGGTGGATAATCTGTTAGGAAGAAACAAAATCCCCTGTAGGCTTTTTGTAAAAAGTTCAATATTCTTTGTCCAGATTTTAGATTTCTCTGAATAAATGACTTTTGCAGAAGAAAAAAAAAATGGATGGCCCCAACACAAAAAATTCTGTTGTGGGGCTGGAGCAATAGCACAGCGGGTAGGGCATTTGCCTTGCACGTGGCCAACCCAGGTTCGATTCCCAGCATCCCATATGGTCCCTCGAGCACTGCCAAGAGTGATTCCTGAGTGCAAAGCCAGGAGTAACCTCTGAGCATCGCCGGGTGTGACCCAAAAAGCAAAAATAAAAAAAAGATTCTGTTGAATTAGAACTACCAAGTTTGCATGATGTCCATATAAATTACTGAAAATACATATATGTGGTAAAGAATATTTCAGCCTTTTTGTCCCTAATAGTAATTTGCTGTATGTTTATCACTTTGTCATCTGCCTTTAGATGCAAATGGTTTAACAAAAACATACAGCATAAAACTTTATACTGATTTTTGGGGGGATGGAATCTTGCTGACAGTGTTCAGGTGACCGTACGGAGTGCTGGGGGTTGAACTCAGGTCAGCTGTGTGCAAGGCAAATGCCCTACCCTCTGTACTATCTCTCTGGCCCCAATAGTGATTTTTTTTTTTTACTGTCTGTGCACTCACCTAACATTTTCTGTGAATTGAGGAAAGGACATTGCTCTTTGGGGTTTTTTGTTTGCTTGTTTTTGCTCTTTTTTGTTAGTTGGTGGACCAACAGGGTTACATAGGGATACGAGAACCACAAACAACTTCAGCTCGATTTAAGGCTATCAAGGTATATGTATATACAAAAGGCAGGTCTCTACTTCTATGTAACAAACATTTATTGAGTGCCTACTGTGTGCCAGGGAATAAAGTATAGATGGCACCCGCCTTGAGGAGGTTGTGGTAGAGGAGACAGATGATTATAATGCATGGCGGTGAGCACAGTGGCAGTGGCGTAAAGTTCCAGGGACTTGGAAGCCATCTCCTACACCTGACTCTAAACCTTTTTTATTTTTGTTAGGGGCCACATGCAGTTAGGAGTTACTCCTGGCTCTACACTCTGGGATCACTCCTGGCAGGCTCAGGGGACCATATGGATGTAGAGGGTCAAACTGATCAGCCATGTGCAAGGCATGCGCCCTACGTGCTGCATTCTCTCTCTGGCTGAACCGATTTGATTTGGGGTCCATACCCAGTTGTGCTCAGGAATTACTCCCAATAGCCTCAGATGACCATATGGCATGCCAGGGATTGAACCTGGGTCAGCTGCATGCAAGGCAAGCAAGCACCCAACCCACTGTACTGTCTCTCCAGCCCCATGATTGCAAACTTTTGTTTTGTCTTGGGTCCACAACTGGTGGTACTCAGAACTTTATCCTAGTTCTGCACTCAGGGGTCATTCCAGGCGGTCTGAGGGAACCACATGGAATACCAGGGATCAAACCTGGGTCAGCTGCATGCAATGGCAAACACTCTACCTACTGTACTATCTCTCCAGCCCTCATGCAGCAGTTTCCAGAGTAATTGAGTCTTCTCCAAGGCTCAGAAGATGGTGATCGTACTCTCTTCTCTCTCTCTCCTTCTCCTCCTCCTTCTTCCTTTTCTTCTTTCTCTTCCTCTTCCTCCTCTTCCTCCTTCTTTTCCTCCACCTCCTCCTCCTCCCCCTCGCCCCTCCCGCCCCCGCAGGGAGGAAGGCATCAGGATGGACCCTTTCCTGTCTTGGTTCTCTAATTTCCTATGTTTCTTTCTCTTTTCAACTAGCCTCTGAAAACCAGAATGGGAATGGACTGAGTGCCCCAGCAGGCTCTGGAGGTGGTCCGCACCCGCCTCATGCACCCCCCCACCCTCCCAGCACCCGAATCACCCGAAGCCAGCCCAACCACACACCTGCCGGCCCTCCTGGGCCCTCCAGCAACCCTGTCAGTAACGGCAAAGAAACACGGAGGAGCAGCAAGAGATAGCAAGACAGCCTTCCTCGCTTCCTGCCGTGGGCCCGAACCTGACAGCCTTCCTGACAGCCCTCCTGACAGCTGTGCAGGAGGGGCAGGGACTCTCTCAACTTCCCTGCAGACCTAGGGGCCAGGGGCCGTGCTCCCTCCACATTGGCCCAGTGAAGTGGCCCATCTTCTGGGATTCAGTGCCCTCTTCCTGCCGTGCTGTGCTCGCATTAGAAATGAATTACAGTCAGTTGTATGTGTGATGTGGAAGTCTAGTTGAATGCCTCCTTCAAATAAACGTTCACCACTCCGGACTCAAGACTGCTCTTTTGTGGGTTTTTTTTTGGGGGGGGTCACACCCAGTGATGCACAGGGGTTACTCCTGGCTCTGCACTCAGGAACTACTGCTAGTGGTGCTCTGGGGACCATATGGGATGCTGGGAATCGAACCCGAGTCGGCCGCGTGCAAGCAAACGCCCTACCGGCTGTGCTATCTTTCCAGCCCCTCAAGACTGCTCTTTAACCCGCTTGGTACTTTGCTTTTACTGAGGAAGCAAAGAAGCATTTGGAAAGGTGGGACGTCCCTAAGGAGGTGGAGGAGACAGAAGTAACAGGTGAAGAGGCCTCGGCCAAGCCGGCCTGCCCCTTTAAGGTAGTGTCCCTCCTCTCCCCCTCCCTGCAGGTGACCCTTGCCCGACTGCCTGCCTGCCCCCCACCTTCCACAGCTGGAACCAAGAAAGCTGTGTTCCCCCTTCCTCTGGGTCTCACTGCCTTCTGCTGTCAGGTAACACAAGCTGCCACCGCCTTCGAGCCCTAGGACCACTCAGCCCCCGCAGAGTCGGCTCTCCTGACCTTCACCTGGCCTTCCCTAGGCAAGCCAGGACCCTGCTGCATCTCCCTAGGCCCGCTCCTTCCCCCGCCTTCCCAGGCCCTGGCTCACTCCTCGGGGTAGGGGACTGCTAAGCCCAGGATCTTATGCAGACATCTGGGTCAGCCACTTCCGGGGGCTGCTTCTGCCCCCTCTCCAGCTCTGGGACCACCTGGGTCCAATTTTCCCATGAAATGAGGGCCTGGGGGTTGGCAAGGAGCAGAACCCACTGCCAGGGGGAAGGTAGGTGAGGTGAGAGGGTAGGCGGGTAGGCAGGGAAAGGCTAGAGGGCGCCCGTGGGGTGGGGGTGGGTGAGTTATCTGCAAGAAAAGGCCGGGTCCAGGTTCTTCGCAGCCATGTGGCTTCTCCTGAGGCAGTCGGTGGCCCCTCCCTATCGGGGCCCAACCGACTGACCTTTGACTCCACCCCAGAGACCAGTGAACCATTAACTGCTCTCTGATGTGGACCTTCCCACACTGGCCCCACCCCTGGCCCCGCCCCAAGGGAGGTGGGCTAGGAGGGGGCGCCTGTCCACTGCCGCAGCTCTGGCCGCTCTGACGTGGCCTCCGGTCCACCTGGGCACCTGGAGGCTGAGTCCCGGCTCCCTCCTGCCCTCCCTCAGGAACCTCTGAGGTGACAGCTCTGGTGCTGCCAGTGGGGTGAGGTCCTGGGGATTGAGGGGGCAACAGAGAGGTGGGGGGAGGTTGCAGGGCTGAGGGGTGGGGTCTGGGGGACCTGCTGGAAGGTCAGCTCTGGATCGCGTGAGGCAAGTGCTCCGAGAACTAGCAGATGAGAAGCTCCCCCAGGAGGCTGGGGAAGGGGGAATGGCGGAGGGAGGGGCTCTGAGCATTGGGGGCTCTTCCCTGGCTGAGCAGCGGCCCATCACCTACCTGCCTTCCGCTTCTCTTCCAGGACACACTTCTCAGGATGTTTCGGGGAGACTAGAAGCTGCGCCTAGAGCCTTTCAGCCCTCACCCCGACAATGGGGCTTCCGACGAGTCAGCTGCTGGCTGGCCTGTGTGTGTGGATGGCCTTGGGCTGGGCAGGGGGCTCTGGCCCTGACCTTGGCCCTGCCGAGCAGGAGCAGAACCATTACCTGGCCCAGCTGTTTGGCCTCTATGGGGAGAACGGGACGCTGACGGCAGGGGGCCTGGCAAGGCTTCTCCACAGCCTGGGGCTGGGCCGAGTGCAGGGACTTCGCCTGGGACCCCAGGGGCATGCAGCTGGCCGGGCCTCCTCTCCAGTTGGAGACAATTCCACACACAGGTACTGCGCCCTTCCCAGGAAACCCAACTCCAGCCCTCAGCGCTTGGCTGAGACTCTCCAGGGTCTAGCTCTGCCTCCCAAAAGCAGATTCCTGGATTCACACTTTTTTTCAGTGTGTATCTTTTTAAGATCCTTAAGTGTCTATTGCCACCATGTTCTGTGCAGGATGGGGTGGGGACACACCTGGCAGTGCTCGGGGCCCACTCCTGGCTCCGCACTCAGGGATCACTCCTGGAGGGCTCAGGCAACCGTATGGGGCGCCGGGGTCATTGCGTGCAAGGCAAGCACCCTCCCTGCTGTGCTGTGGCTCCAGCCCCTCTCGTGCCTTCTAACTCTCTCAACTTCTAGATTCCTGGGCTTGTGGGTGCCTTGCTCAGTCAGTATTTCCAGACTGATGTGGCTCCCAGTTTATAGTGTTCTCAGTCTTCTTCCCCATTTTTCTTATCCCTGCCACCTCCCCTCTGGGCCCTCCTATAAATGGCCAATTCTCAGGGCCCTGGTTTCTGGGTCCCTGGATCTCAAGAACTCTAACCAGTGGCTGGTCCTCATTCTCCTAAGCACACTGGGGACCTCCCAAGGGGGGACAATCTCAGCGACTCTGACTTGGTTTCTCCACCCTTCCAGGCTGCAGGACTCAGAGCTGAATGTGGATGTCTGGGCAGGGCTGCCTCTAAGTCCGTCAGGGTGGGGGGACCTGAGCAAGCCCGAGGCCCCGTCCCCTCCCCGTGGGCCAGGCCCTTCGGGGCTGGGCCTCTTTCACAGGCTCCTGCTGCTGGACCACTCACTGGCTGACCATCTGAATGAGGATGTAAGTATGATGAGCACTAAAGGGAGGGAGAGAAAGGGCTGGGGAGACCGCAGAGGGGGGAGGGGTGCGTGGGGCGGGACTCCAGTTTGATCCCTAGCACAGCAGGCCTCTGAGGTGCTGCTGCCACTGCCCTGAAGCCCCCCAAGCGCTGACAGCATGGCCCTGGCAGACCCCAGCAAGAACAGTGGAAGGAAGAAAGGGAGGGGGGTTGGTTCTTGGCAGGGTCGGGGGGGCGTCCCAGGCAGTGCTGAGGGGGTCAGGAACCCTAACCAGCAATGCCTGGGTGGCTGTGCAGGCCCGAATGTTCGGTGTTTGGACCAGGCGATGCTTGAGGACGTGTTACCTCAGCCTTGCACTCCAGCCCCCTGAGTTGTCTCCCCAAGCCCATGGGATTTTATTTGCTTATGGGGCCATGCCCAGCTGTTCAAGGCTTACGACTCCTGGCTCAGGCATCACCCGTTGCTTTGCCTCTTGGAACCATACGCGGTACCAGGAACAAACCTGGGTTGGCTGTACCAGGCAAGTGCCTTATTCCTCTGGCCCATGGCTATGGTATTTAGATAACCCGTCCGTCAAACACTGTCCTCTCGTTGTTCATCGATTTTCTCGAGCGGGCCCAGTAACATCTCCATTTTTTTTTTTTTGCCTTTTTTTTGGGTCACACCCGGCGATGCACAGGGGTTACTCCTGGCTCTGCACTCAGAAGTTACTCCTGGCAGTGCTCAGAGGACCATATGGGATGCTGGGAATCGAACCCGGGTCGGCTGCATGCAAGGCAAACGCCCTACCCGCTGTGCTATCTCTCCAGCCCCAACATCTCCATTTTGAGACTTGTTGTTACTGTGTTTGGCATATTGAATACCTCACAGGGAGCTTGCCAGGCTTTGCCGTGCGGGCGAGATACTCTCAGTAGCTTGCTGAGCTCTCCGAGAGGAGAAGAGGAATCGAACCCGGCTCGGCCTGGCTGGCTGTGCGCAAGGCAAACACCCTACCACTGTGCTATGCTCCAGCCCTCAGATAACCCAAAATGTTTCAATTTAGTAAGTGGTAACACTTAAGGTTTTTCATTTACAGTTAATAAAAAAAAATCCAGCTGTGGTCTTAGGCTCTGTTATCCCAACAGTGAAACATATTCCTTCTGGGCTCAGCATACCTAAAGGCACCCAGAGTTCCAGGCTCCAGTTTAGGGGCCACCTGTGGCAAAGCCAGAACTCCAGAGCAGCAGTACAGAGTCGGATCTGAGGACAGCCAGCGGGGAAGAGCTATTGCAGCACAGGGAGCCACAAACGCTGACCCTTTAAGCAGCCCAGGGAAGCGAATGCCCCATCACAGGAGGCCTCCAGGTCAAGGAGAGACGCGCATGTGGCAGGGTGCTGGAGAGGTGGCTGGAGGGTCTTCCAGGTTTTTCCCTTTTTTTTTTTTTTTTTTTTTGCTTTTTGGGTCACACCCGCGATGCTCAGGGGTTACTCCTGGCTCTGCACTCAGAAGTTACTCCTGGCAGTGCTCAGGGGACCATATGGGATGCTGGGACTCGAACCCAGGTCGGCTGCGTGCAAGGCAAACGCCCTACCCACTGTGCGATCTCTCCAGCCTGGTTTTTCCTTTCTAAGACCCATGGAGGGTTCCGACTGTCCACAGTAGGTCACCCATTAATGAACTCATCAGCATCCCTGTCCCTGCCAGCCTGAGCCCAGGGAGGGCCGGGAGAGACGCAGGAGTCCAGACAGCACACGGACTGAGGGCTCAAGGTCCCGGTCCCGCTTCTCAGTGTCCCGCTCCCGCCTCCTGCAGTGCCTGAACGGCTCCCAGCTGCTGGTCAATTTCGGCCTGAGTCCAGCAGCCCCACTGACCCCGAGGCAGTTTGCTCTGCTGTGCCCGGCACTGCTTTACCAGATCGACAGCCGAGTCTGCATCCAGGCCCCGGCCCCCAGTGCCCCTGGGAACCTACTGTCTGGTCAGTGCGTGAGAACGGTGCTGGGGCCCCGATTCCTGGGAGGCGAGACGGGCTTCTCTGCTCCAGCTGGCTTCTGACTGAGTTCAGCCCCCGCCCCCCCCCCCACGTTCTCCTCCGCAGCCCTGACTCACAGCGCCCTGGCGGTCCTGCTCCTCAGCCTCCCGGCTCCTCTCTCCCTGCTCCTGCTGCGGCTCCTGGGACCTCGTTTGCTGCGACCCTTGCTAGGCTTCCTGGGTGCCCTGGCCGTGGGCACACTCTGCGGGGATGCGCTGCTCCACCTGCTGCCTCACGTACGTGAAGCCGATTCCTGTGCACCTGCCCCCCGGGGAACCCTCTCCCGGGACCTCCCTGCTCCTCGGGGTCCTGAAGGTCACTTCGTCCCCTCACGAGGAACTGCCCTGACCTCTTCTCCCACAGGCACGAGGACATCACACGGGCCCGGGCGGTCACTCCGAAGAGGACCTGGGCCCGGGCCTGTCGGTACTTGGAGGCCTCTTCCTGCTCTTCGCGCTGGAGAACACGCTGGGGCTGCTGCGGCGCCAGAGGCCCAGGCCAGTGCGTGACACCCCTCATCTCCCCCGCGCCCAGACCAGGGGCCTTAGCTGAGAAAGGGCCCCACAGGCCTGGGGGTGGGGGCGGGCGATGAGGTCCTCTGGCAGAGGCCTGGCGGCCCCCCAGACCCAGACCTGAGCAGGGGTGCCTGCTCAGCAAGAGAACAGGGAGGTGCCACCTGGGAAGCCAGCAGAGGCCCGGGAACCCCCGCCCAGGGGCTCCTGGTGATCCCAGGTGCTCGTTTTCCCAGAGGGGAGGCTGGCTTTGCCTCGGCCGCCGGCTCTGCCGCCTCCGCCACCAGGAGGTATACCCTCCCATTTCAGAGATGCTGCTGGCACACCGGGAAGGAGCGCCGGGCACGGAACCCAGACCCAGAGGAGGGCACCACCGTGGCCCTGCAGCAGGCCACAGCACCAGGTGCCCAGGGGAGGAGAGGACAGAGCTGGTCCCCGGCCTCTGCTCCCACCTGTGATCACCAACTCCGTTCCACTGTCCTTCCTTCAGAGCCAGGAGCTCAGGGCCAGGGGGAGCAGGACAGTCGGCCCCCACCGGGGCACCAAGGCCACAGCCACGGGCACCAGGATGGCAGCTTCACATGGATGGTTCTTCTGGGAGATGGTTTACACAACCTCACTGACGGGCTGGCCATAGGTGTGCAGGGCAGGCCTGGGGCTGGCACCTCTGTACCCGGGAACGCGCTGCGGGGGTCGGGGCCTCGTTCAGGCCCCACAGCCTCCGCCTGCCACCCACAGGCGCCGCCTTCTCCGATGGCTTCTCCAGCGGCCTCAGTACCACGCTGGCGGTGTTCTGCCACGAGCTGCCACATGAACTGGGTGAGCGGGGCGGGCCGGAGGGGCAGTGGCGGGGCTTGGGGGGCGCAGCCGGCAGCTTCAGTCCCAGCGCCTCACCCTGTCCCCCCGCAGGCGACTTCGCCATGCTGCTTCGGGCCGGGCTGCCCTTCCGGCGGCTGCTGCTCCTGAGTCTGGTGTCTGGCGCTCTGGGACTGGGGGGCGCAGCCCTGGGGGTGGGGCTCAGTCTGGGCCCCGTCCCGCTCACCCCCTGGGTGTTTGGCGTCACAGCAGGGGTCTTCCTCTACGTGGCCCTGGTGGACATGGTGAGCAGAGAGCACTGCGGCTGGAGCTCCCACCCTCCCCTGGGCCAGCCGAGTTGGGGGGCGGGGGGGGCGCCCATGCTTTCTGACACCTCCCTTCCTTGCCTTCGCAGCTCCCGGCCCTGCTCCGTCCTCCCGAGCCCCTCCCTGCGCTCGAGGTGCTCCTGCAGGGGCTGGGGCTGTCGCTGGGGGGTGGCCTCATGCTCGCCATCGCGCTGATGGAGGAGAGGCTGCGGCCCCTGCTGCCAGAGGGCTGATGGGCGGGGGTGGGGGGGGCCCCGGGCCTGCCCCTCCCCCCCAGCCACAGGAATGGAGGCGGGACACCGGGCCAGTAGGAGCAACAGGATTTTAATAAACAGAACCCATCCCAAAGCCATAACTACGACAGTTGTACTTGCACCAAAACAGCATAGAAAACCGGGAGGGAGGCGGCGGGAGGGGAGGAGGCTCAAAGCAGGTGGAGGGAGGACCAGGAGGGCGGGGCGGGGCGGGGAGTCCACGGGGCGGGGTGGGGAGAGCATTGTGCTTTAGCCCGGGGCGAGGGAGGGGCGGGGCAAATGCACCAAGGTCCCCACTGGCCTGCTGCCCTCAGCACCCTGGGGAGTCAGGCATCTGGGCAGTGCTGCCCTTTATTGCTGCCCACCAGCATCGAACACCCCCCCGACCCCCGACCCCCACGCTAGCACCACAGGGAGATCCAGAGCAGGGAGAAGGCAGGAAGGGGAAACATTGCTTAGAGAAAGATTCCACTAGAATCCAGTGAATTGTGCTCAGTTCTCTTTACTTCCTACAACCGAGTACATGGGTCACAGGGTGGAGGGTGCAAAGGGCCGGGGGGGGGGGGGCTGCCCCTCCCAGCCCCCCACACCCCTGCACAGGATGGTGGTGTCTGCAGCATCACAGGTCATGCAGGGCACAGGGATGGGGAAGGTCACACACACAGACGCCCACGCGGGGACCAGAGAACACCCCTGAATATACACAGCTGTACACAGGGAACCACCCCCCCACCCCGGCCCCCATCCCAACCCTCTCCCCTGTCTTGCGGTCCCTCCTGGGCAGACAGGAGGAACTGTATTGCTTTGAGAGCCACCCTGGGGGCCGCCCTTCCAGGCACCCTCCCCCCACCCACCCCCATTTGGCACATCTGCAAGACTTGTGGCAGGCAGCAAGGGGGCCCCCTCCCCCCACTGCCAGTCTTCCCGTGCTTGGAGCTGAGGAAGGGGCAAGAGGTTCCGTCCTCCATCTGTCCCCCTAGCCCTTCCTGAACCCCTTCCGAACCCAAGCCGGCAGAACCCGCCCCCACCCCCCACACATACAAAGCTGAGCTATCCAGGAATGGGGGGGGGAGACGGGGAGATTGTCCGGGGACGGAGCAGAGGGAGAGGGGAGGAAAGACTGGAAGCAGAGACCCCCCCTGGCGTGGGGGTCAGACTGGCACAACAGCTACTTTAGTGCAATTGGAGAGGGTGCCCAGAGGGAGGGATGGAGGCGGGAGGGGCAGTCAGGTGCCCAGGGCCGGGGCCAACAGAGGGTCTCACGCCCCGCCACCGACTGCCACCCTCAGCCCTCCCAGACGCAGTGACAGGTCCCCTCACACCTGTGGGCAGCAGCAGCCTCGGGTCAGTACCTTCAAGTAATTCAGAGCGGACCCCCCCTTCCGGCTCCCTCCCAGCTCTGGGATTTGGTCGCTTCTCTAGGGGGCGGGTTGGGGGGGGTTCCCTGGGCAACCCCTTCCCTCCGGCCTCCCTCTTCCCAGCCCACAGGGCTTGGTCCTTAAAGATTCCTCCCCCCCACGCCCAGGTCAAGGCGGCGGGACGGGCCAGGCGGGGCGGCGGGGGCTCCCGGTCCTCCTCCTCCCAAGGGAGGGTGCCACGAGGTGGGTGCCCCCAGAAGGGCGTCTGGGCTCGGGTCTGTAAGGCTATTTTCCTTTGCAGTGGGAGAGAAGGGGAGGGGAGGCGGGGGATGAACACCGGGTGTGGGGGTGTGGGGAGGGTGAGAGGCGGAGGCGGGAGGGAGGGGCCCCCACGGAAGCCCTCAGGGGGTCACTGGGGGACCCGGAGTGCCCGACCTCGCCGCTCCCGGCCCTGCCCACGGCGAGTGCGGGCACAGCTGCAGGACTATTCACTCGGAGCCCCCCACCCCCGGCCTCTCTTCCCGTCGGGGCCAGGGCCAGGGAGTCGGAAGGTGCTCGGGTGGTCAGACAGCGGCGGAAACAGTATTGAGTTTTCCTTTGGTTACATATTGAAGGCAAAGGTGAGCTGGACTTACAGTCAAAACGGATAGGGAGGAGGAAGGGGGAGGGGCCGTGGCGGGGTGGCGGAGGGGGGAGGCCCCCGGAGCCCCTTCACCCCCAGGAACACATGTCTATTGGGGTGGCAATTCCCTCAGTCTCATCTCCCCACCCCCCACAGCACCAAACAGGAGAAGCCCCTTCCCCAGGGGCCGCTCCCCACCCCTCATGGGCTGTACATTCAGTGGTTCTCAGCAGTCCTATGGCTCAGGGGGCCACGGGGAAGGGAGGTGGCCCAACAGTCTCACTGGGACAGTGGCAGTGACCCGGGTCTGGGGGTCCCGCCGGGGACCCCCAGTTTGTGCCGTTTGTTTTTCTGAACGCTATACACAACCCTTCCAAAGCCACCACCCAATTGGAAACCTCCCCCCCCAACGCCCCAAATCAGAAACGAAAAACTGGCTCTTTCCATCGGGCCCTCGTCCGGTCCACGCACACTTCCCTGTCTGCTAGGTCGCCCTTGCTCTGACTCCTTCGCTGGGGGCCGGGCCGCTCCCAGGCCCCTCACTCAGAATAGGCCTTTTCTCAAAAGTGCTTATTACTTGAAGCAAGTGCTTTAGAGCTGCGCTGGGGGGCGGGGCGGGGCAGGGGTGCTTCCTCCCCACCTGGCCCCTGACGATTGGGGGGCATTCTGCCTGTTTTACTTCTCCACACCCGTTTAAGTCAAAGAGGTTTTTCCAAAAAAAAAAAAAGAAAGAAAGAAAGAAAGGAAAATCCTAACGTTAAAATAAATACGCAGTGGCCATGAGAATGGTCAGAATGCTTCAAAAACCTCGAGGGGCTGGGGAGCCCGGGGTGGGTGTGGGGTTTCCTTTGGCATAAGGAGGAGGCTGCTCATCCTCCAGACTTCCTCACGGCCACACGAGGAGGGGCAGAGGATGCCCTGCCACCGGCCAGCACTGCTGACGGGGCACTGGAGGGGCCGGGCAGCGGGGACCAGGCAGCCACCAGAAATCTCCTCCAGCACAACAGCGGGGCTCCTGCCCCGGACACCGACTCTTCCTGTCATCACCCCACATTGCTAAAGGAGAACACGACTGATCCCCTGATCCCCGAGGGTCTTCTTGGGAGGACCCATCTCCCTGCTCCCCCCGCACCCGTCCCCACCAACTAATTCCCAGCACCAAAATGAGAGGAATGGAGGGGGGGAGGGCGGGAAGGTTCAAGGAGCAAGAACTGAAGGGAGGGACAAGCACTGTAGAGCCAGCAGGGTGGGGTGGGGGCTGCAGCCCTTAAGAGAGGTCACATTGATTGTCGTGTAGGGAAGGACGAGGCGGGGGAGTGCATGGGGGGGCGCTGGGGCATGAGGGGCATCGCAAGGCCCTTTGGCTTTGAAAACAAAAATTACAAACTAAAAAGCTGCACAATCCTTCTCACCAATAATGGTCATTTGGAAGCTTTGAAATGGTTCAGGAACTGAGAGGTGGCAGGAAGCAAGACACAGAGAGGGAGGGCGACAGACAGGCCAGGCTTCGGGTCGGGGCATGAGGTACGGTGAAGGGACCAACTGGGGCGGGGAGGGGCTCCCTCTGCCCCCCGCGGCAAGGGTGGCGAGACTTGCAGGGTACCCAACTGAAAAGTGGGGGCAGGAGAGCAGGGTGGGGGGGTGCCCCAGGATGGGGACCCTGTACTGTGTAAACGAAGCCTGTCCAGTTCTCCGGGGACAATACTGATGGCAGCCAAACTGGGCGTGGGCGCACTGTGGGCTGGGGGGGGGCGTGACCTAGATTCAAGTTCTGTGTCTTGGCCCCTGGCTGAGGTATCAGTGTGAGGATGGGGGCAGGGAGGGGTGCGCCGTGCGGGTCGACTGTCCAGGGGTGCTGAGCTGGGAGATGTGTGGACAGACAGGGGTGTCTGCAGGGACAGGGGCCAAATTCAATGCTACATTGAGAGAGAAAACTGCCCCTCCTCACTCCAGCCCAGTTTGGCTTTCGGGGTGGGGCTGGCTGGGAAGGAAGGTGGGCGCAAGGCCCAGCGCCCGTGGTCGCTCCCTCGATCAGAGTCAGCCTCATACCGGAGGGGAGTCTGCCAGCCCCTCCCACCATCTTTGGCTTCAGATCAGGAGTGACTGGGGGGCTGGGGGAGAAGGGGGTTGGGGCAAGGACTCTGGGACATAAGGAAGGTGGGGGCTGGGGGGACGTAAGAGAGAGGGGGGCGCAGAAGGAAGACCGCGGTCCTGCCCTCCACATACATGCAAACACATGCCTGAAACACATAGGACATACTAGTGCTGTGATTTGAAATGGGTAGGAAATCAATTTGCTTCTTCCCCTAAAGGGATAAAATGCTCACTTAAAAATTCATGACAAGCCTCGAAAGTTCAGGGAGGAGAGCCAGGGAGGGAAGGGCCACAGGCTCTGCCCTCCGAAAAGAAGCTAAAAGAAGCAAGGTTAAAGTGCGTGGCGGGGTCCGGGCCGGGAGGGGGAGGGGCGGGGGCTGGGGGGGGCAGGCTGTGGGGGCAGAACCAGCCCTTGATTTGCATATGAGGAGCCAGGGGAGAGTGCAGGATGGGGCCCAGGTACAGTAGTTGCTGCTTCAAGTGTTTTGCATTTGAACTTGAGGGGCGATGGGGGACAGAAGTTGGGGGGGAAAGTTCCAGGCCCCAGTGCTAAATACCCTCCCCCCTCATCCTCTAGCTGCCCCGGAAGGGGGAGGGGGGACACCCCCAGAGTGCTCACACAGTACCGGAAATTAAGGCTTCTCACTGCTGCGTGGATGGAGGGGCCGGCGAGCAGGGAGGCAGTGATGGGGATGACAGAGGAGGGGGTCTGCCTGGCAGGAGGGCAGGGGGCAGCGGGCCACAGAGGAGGGTCTGGCAGCAGAAAGGGGGAACCGAGAGACGGTAACAGAGGGGAGCCAGGCATTTAGCAATCATTCTGGGACACTCGGCAGAGGGGCTGCCCTGGGGGTACCGAGGGCCTGGGCTGCTCCCTGTCCGCCCCAGACCCCTGCCAGGATGGTGTGCAATGGGCGAGCGGCTGCTAGCACCCCAGAGCTTCCGTTCACCCCCTCCGCCCCCGCCCCACACCCAGCCGTGTTCTCCTTTAAAGTGCCCTAAATGTATAGACTTCTTCTAAATAAATATAAGATATCAAGCCACCGGCGGGGGAGGGACGCGAGGGGCTACTCGGAGTAGCAGCCGTCTAGGCCAATGGCGCCGTGCCGCTCCTGGCTGTAGGGGCAGGAGGCCCCGTGCGGCAGGGCCCCGCAGCCACCCACCGTCTTGGCGGCGGCGATGCTGCAGTTTTTGAGCAGGCTGAAGCTGAAAGGACTGACGGCGTCCTTGGGTGGGAAAGGCTTCATGGTGGAGAGGATCAAGGCCAGGCAGTCTGCCACGTCTTTGTTGGGGGCGCAGGCCAGTGCTGGGGTGTGACCTGCGGGCCAAAGGCGGACAACTGAGGTCCAGGGTCCCGCCTCCCGGGCCCCCATCCCTCGCCGGGGCCCCCTCCCCCACCGCCCCCAAGTCTCTTCTCTGTGGAGGGGGTCAAGGCCTTGGGCGAGCACCCCAAGGCGGGGAGGGAGTACTCAGAATTCCAGGGCTCTGCAGGGAGGCACGGGGGGCAGGCAGGGGGCCACGGGGCTGAGGTGTGGGAGGTCTTCTGGAAGACCCTGCTGGCGCCCCCTAGTTCCGTCAGACCCCCTCAGAGACTGGCATACTGGTGGTGGGTCCCTGCTCTGAAGCGTCCCCTTGGGAAGAAAACCCAGTTGATAGCAAGGTTAAGAAGTCACCTCCTCGAGAGTGTCCCCGACCCCAAACCCGGGAGAGGCGGGGGGCTCTGCACCCCACCCACCTTCTTCATCCACAGCCAGCACAGTGGCGCCCCGACTCAGCAGGGCCTGCACCACAGAGGCCAGACCGTTCCGGGCAGCAATGTGGAGTGGCCTGGACAGGACGGGGAGGGAGGGAAGAGGCACGTGAGCCGGAGTGCGCGCGCGCGGCAGTGGTGGCAGGGGGAGGGGGCGTCCTTCACCCACCTGCCTCCCCCCGCCGGAGCCCCTGCCCCGACACTCACATCTGCAGCGCACTGTTGGTGGCATTGATAAGGCCAAGGTCTTGGGTTTCTGCCAGGATCATGAGGGCACATTTCTCATGGCCCTGAGGGAGAGGAACAGAGCGCAGACTTGGGGCAGGGGGCACGGGGCGTTACAAGCCACCGGTGAGAGGGGCAAGCATGGGGGGAGGGGAGGCAAACCCAACAGGGCGCCTCACCCCTGCGGCCCTCCCCCGCTCTCCCTGCCCTTACCTTGCTACACGCCAAGTGGAGGGCAGTGTTCTTGTTCTCGTCCAGCACGGTCAGGTCTGCCTTCCCCCGGTACAGCAGAAACTCTACAAGGCAACAACAGGACACACACGACTGAGGCCTCCACACCGCCCCATCCGCAGTGGAGACATTCCCAAAGGCAAGCTCCTGCTTCCTGGACCCCACTCCCATCCTTTCTGGGGTGGTGTTTGGAGTCACCCCCAGAGGTGCCCAGGGCTTACTCCCGGCTCTGCACTCCGGGATCACTCCTGGCACAGGGCTTGGGGGATCCTACGGGGTGCTGGGATGGAATGTGGGTTGACCGCCAGCCAGGCAAGCATCGTCTCCGCTGGACTACGGTTCTGGCCCCCACTCCCATCTTTCGAAAGCCCACGAGGTGCTCCCCTCGCTCCCACGCAGCCCCTCCGTACCCACAGCAGCTGTCTGCCCATTCTCCGCCGCCGTCATGAGTGCCGTGCGGCCGGTGTGGTCGGTGGCGTTCACCTCAGCTTGATGCTGCAGCAGCACCCGGAGCCCAGAGACATTGTCCGCAAAGGCAGCGGCGTGAAGAGGGGTCCTGCGGGGAGGTGAGGGAGTGTGAGGCTGGGCGCGACACGAGTGGTCACCTGAGGCGACCGGGGACCCCGCCTCCATACTCACCGTCCTTTGGCATCACGGCTGTTCACAATCTTGGCACCCAGAGCTCCCAGCAGCATCTCTGTGGTGCTGTCCTGGTTATTAATTCTGGGGGAACAGGCAGAGTGGGCAGGTGGGACAAGGGAAAAGGGAGCCCAGTCCCAGGTTCCCAAGACAGACCCTTGCAAAGGGCAGAGGCAATGGCGGGAACTTACACTGCACAGTGCAAAGGAGTGAAGGGGTTTCCTTCCAGGTATGAAAATGGGCTGTGTTCAAGTAACAACTCCAGACAATCTTCGTGTCCTGGGACAAAGGAGATGTATGGCAGAGGGCAGGATCAGCCAGCGTCCCCGCCGCTATCCTGTCCCCTCTCTCATTAATATTTTTGGGTCAGACCCGCTGGTGCTGGGTGTCTATAGGCGCTAGGTCAGCAAGCAGGGCCTCCCGCATGCCAACCAGGCACTCAGACCATCCCCGATGGCCCCTGTCCCGTCTTCTGGTCCATCCCACCCCTTGATCCAGTTCAACCCGCCGTCAGCCCACTGTCCCTGGTCTCTGACCCTGTCTGCCCCCCTTGTCCCCCTCCCGTCCCCAGCCCTGTACCAGTGTAGGAGGCCCAGTGCATGGGCGAGTATCCACTGTAGTCCACCCCCGCGTCCAGGGGGTCTGTGGACAGGGCAGCCTGCAGCAGGGTCCGCAGCACTGCGGTGTGGCCACACGCGGAGGCCAAGTGGATGGGCGTGCGGCCCTTGAAGTCTCGGCACAGCACAAACGCGTCATGGTCCAGCAGGGCAGCCAGGCAGTCCTCACAGCCAGTCACTGCCTGCGGGGCATGGACGTGGGTACATGTGGGGAGGATTCAGGCCCTGGCCACTGGCCAGTCAGGAGGCCGACCCAGGCTCAAGAACCACTTCCGGAGCCAAGCAGGAGGCTGGGGCCCCAAGTTCCATTCCAGCCTCACCTAGACCCCGGTACCACCAGAACTGAGCCTCGAATCCTGAACCAGGAGGAGCCCCCCAAGTAAGAGTGGGTGGCCCCAAAACTGAAACAAAAGAACCATTTCTGAAGCTAGGGAGATAGCACAGCATGTGGGCACTTGCCTTGCAAGCGGCCAACCCGGGTTCAATACCCAACATCCCATATGGCTCCCCAATAGCCACTGGGAGTGTCTCTGAGTGCAGAGTTAGGAGTAAGCCCGGAGCACAGGCGGATGTGGTCCAAAAAACAGCAACAAGGGCTGGAGCGATAGTACAGCGAGTAGGGCATTTGCCTTGTGCACGGCCGACCTATGTTCAATCCCCAGCATCCCATATGGTCCCCCCAAAACTGCTGGGAGTAATTCCTGAGTACAGAGCCAGGAATAACCCCTAAGCATTGCTGGGTGTGACCCCAAAAGCAATAATAATAATAATAATAATAAACCAGCAACAGAAAGAACCACTTTCAGGGCTCCTATCCTTGTCTAAGCAGCTTCTTCCTTCAGTGTCTCTAAGCCCAAAGATAAACAGGAGGAAGAGAATCAGCTTTGGAGCGGGAGATGAAACGAGGGAAAAGTACGGATCCAAAACTCCACGGTTGGGGTTGGAGCAATCGTACTGCAGGTAGGGCATTTTTCTTGTACGCAGCCAACCAGGGTTCAATCCCCATCATCTCTTATGGTCCCCTGAGCAATGTCAGGAGTGATTCCTGAGTGCAGAGCCAGGAGTAACCCCAGAGCATGGCTGGGTGTGGCCCAGAAACAAAAACAAAAGAAATACCATAGTGGGAGGCAGGGCAGAGACTTAGTACAAGGTGCAGCTGACCCAGGTTCAATCCCCAGCACTACAAATGGTCCCCTAAGGACCACTGAGAGTGACTCTGAGCACAGAGATGACGAGACTAAGTCCTGAGCGCCACCCACATGCCAGTAAGGCCTGACTGCCTCACCCACATGCACACACATCCCAGATTCCAGTGTGATCCCAAACCAAAAACAAGCCAACAAACCCAAATCCCAAGGGAGGAGGCAGGTTTCGGGCAGAAAACCAGAGGATGGGGGCAGGGGCCCTGGTCACATGGCCCAGCGGGACAAGGCCATCAGAAAACCCTGGGGCCGAGTCTGGCAGCCCACATGCCAGGCAACCTGCGCTGGCTCATGCGTGCACAGGGCCCCAAGCACCCTACTGCCGAGCCACAGCCCCAGTTCCGACAGCCTGCTGCCCCATGGCTACTGGGCTCTGCATGGCCAGTCTGTGACTGCGCCTGTGTACTCACCCCCCGGTGCAGGGCAGTGCGACCCCGAAGGTCAGCAGCATCAGCTGTGGATCCTTTCTCTAGCAGCAGGTGTACACAGTCCGCGTGACCGTTCATGATGGCCAGCATCAGCGGGGTCCTACAGAGCGGCAGGCGCACAGGTGAGGGCCTGGCTGGGAAGGGAAGCCCCACACCCACCCGAGCCCAGCCCCCACTCACTGGCCGTAGACATCCACGACGTCTGTGATGTCAGCTCGCTCCCCGCTGTCAATCAGCAAGTGCAGGGAATCAGTGTGGCCAGAGGCAGCTGTGAGAGGATGGGCACAGTCAGGAGGAAGGGGGCGGAGCCAGGAGGGGAGCAATCTTGGGCAGATGTGGGCAGGGAGGAATCCCGGGGACAGGAACTCCAAGTCAGGACTGCGAAGCACGGGCTCTGCGTGAAGGACTGGGTTTGATCCCCAGTACCACAGGGTCCCCCCCACAACCAGCACTGCTGGGAGCAACCCCTGAGCACCGCCAGGTGTCCAGGTGTCGGCCTGGCACAAAACCCAAGTCCATCCTCCTCACCCCACTGCGATTCAGGAGAGACTGGGGAGGGGGAGGGGCGTCACGCTCTCAAGGGCCTGGTTTGGCCAAGGAGGGGCTGTCCCCAAGGTGCACACACCAGCAGCATGCAGGGGTGTCCACTTGCGCTTGCGCTCCTTGATGAGGGCAGAGGCGCCGTGAGCCGTCAGCACCTCCACACAGTCCGTGGAGCCTCGCTCAGTGGCCAGGAAGAGCGCGGTGCGGCCCTTGTGGTCCCTCACGTCCAGATTCACCAGCGTCTCGGCCAGTGTCTTCAGGGCTTCACAGTGACCGTTGTAGGCCTGGAGGGGTACAGGCCACCCACCCAGTTGTAACACTGCCCTCTCACCTCTGCCCCTGGGTGACTCCAGCCCACAGTCCCCCGACTCAGCCCCACCAAGCTCCTCGAACGCCTCAGCAGCCCAAGCCCTGCCTGAGGCACCCGTGCCTACCACATCCCCACGGGCCTGGGCACAAGGAAGGGCCGCTGAAACAGGAAGGGTCGGGAGGGCGAGAGGAAAGGAAGTAGGACTCACAGCTAAGTGCAAAGGGCTGACTGGAATGGTACTTTCCACATCCTCCAGGCAGTTAAAGGACATTTCTAAGAGCTGCAATGGGGCGGGACAACAGGCGCTACGGTTTGTGCACGCCTACGCATCCCCCGGCCGTCCCTCTCTCTCCCACAGTTGACGCACAAAGTCCCCCCCCCATATCTAGAAACCGCATCAGCTTCACCCACCCTTGGCCAGGGAACTCACCGTTACAGAGACAGGCGGTGGCCCGCTGGCCGGCCAGCCAGCTCATCCCCCTCAACACAGGCCAGAGCCCAGACCTACCAGTTCGAGGTTCTGTCTGTTGCCATAGGCGGCTGCATAGTGCACTGCTGTGTAGCCCTGCCGGTCCCGCAGGGAGGGGTCTGCACCGTTATCCAGTAAGAACTCCAGACAGCTAGGGGGCAGAGGCAGACTGTGAGGCAGGGACAGGCCCAGCCCAGAGGGGGCAGCTGCCTGGGCGGCAGAGAGGGGCAGGGGAGTCCCACGGGAGTGCATCCACTGTGCTGGGGAGACTCACTCCCACCTCTCACAGGTCGGCCTGAGCCACTCGGGCAGATTCTCACACTTTCCTTCCCTTCCTATTTGTGGTACCTGGAGAGCTTCTCTTTTGTTGTTACTTTTTATTTTGTTTTATTTTTTGGCCACACCCAGTGATGCCCAAAGCTTACTCCTGGCTCTGTGCTCAGAGATCACTCCTGGCAGTATTCAGGGGACCACATGGGATGTCAGGGATTGAAACCGGCTGGCCACCTGCAAGGCAAGCACCCTGTGGGCCCCCTCCTCCTGCACCACCTCTCTGGGCCCTTACCTGGAGAGCTTTACAAAATTCCTAATAAAGGGCAAAATTTCAAAATTTCAAAATTCCTAATCATCAGGGGTAGCCCCCAAATGAAATAAAATTTCTAATGTGTCCTAATAGTCCCAATCACACAGTTGACAGATGGACCTCAAAAACACTGGTCATCGGAACAATCTCTAAAGGTGGGACCTGGCTTGAATACTTTTAACCAAGTGACTCAGGGGCTGCAGCCAACTTGGAGAAGCACTGAACTCTAGAACATTCTCACCTTGGTATACCTAGGGTATACCAAGAAGACCACAGAAGAAAAATTGAGTAGACAAGGGGCCATGGCAAGAGACTAGGGGCCATGAGAAGAAACCAAGGTTGGCATGGGCCCACTGGGGAGAAGGTGGAAAAACGCAACTCTAGAGGACCTGGAGTACAAAAGCATCTCTGGGGGCAGAGCGATAGCACGGCGGGTAGGGCACTTGCCTTGCACGGAGTCCACCTGGTTCGATCCCCAGCATCCCAGATGGTCCCCTGACCACTGCCAAGAATAATTCCTGAGCTCAGAGCCCCAAGTAACCTGAGCACAGCCAGGCACGGCCCAAAAACAAACAAACAAACAAGCAAGCCCCAAATCAACTCCCAACACCTCTACCATCTCCAGGCTGCCACCCTGTCTCACAGACGTTCTCAGGCCATGTCACGGCTCACCCCAAATTCAGTCCCAGCACCCTCCATTCGGTGTGGCCTTCCCAAACCTTTCCGGTTAGGGGTTTCTCCCCCATATTCCCTCAGCACCCTTGCAAAGTGTAGGGATCCACTAAACCAATATTTTCCACTTAAGATGTTTCAAGCATTGTTCTAAGCAATTTCTGTGTATTAAATCACTGAATCAATGGCAATGATCCTGCAATACCTGCAGGTGAGTCTTGAATTTTAAGAATTTTTTTTTTCTCTTTTTGGGACACACCCGGCAATGCACAGGGGGTACACCTGGCTCTGCACTCAGGAATTACTCCTGGCAGTGCTCAGGGGACCATCTGGGATGCTGGGAATCGAACCCGGGTTGGCCGCATGCAAGGCAAACGCCCTACTCATTGTGCTACTGCACCAGTCCCTTAAGAATTTTTTGTGTGTGTGTGGGGGGGGTGGGGACTGGAGAGATAGCACAGCGGGTAGGGCATTTGCCTTGCATGCGGCTGACCCTGGTTCAATTCCCAGCATCCCAAAGGGTCCCCGGAGCACCACCAGAAGTAATTCCTGAGTGCATGAGCCAGGAATAACCCCTGTGCATCGCCAGGTGTGACCAGAAAAGCAAAAAAAAGAATTTTTTTTTTTAATTAGTGATGGGAATCAAACTTAGGGTCACAGGCATGCAAGATTCCTGCTCTACCACTGAGCCCCATCCCGGCCTGAGTGTGCTTTTGAGGGCTGAAAAAACAGTACAGGGATTACGGCACTTGCCCTGCATAAGGCCAACTCTGGTTTGATCCCAGGTACCACATACCATACACCAAGCTCTGGTAGGAGCAAGAACCAGGAGTAAGTCCTGAGTACTTCTGGGTCTGTTTCCCTCCCTCCCCTCCAACCCCCACACACAAAGTGCGTTTAGGGGGCCAGAGGGATATTATCACAGGTAATGTATGTCTTGTATGCAGCCAACCCTGGTTCAATCCTTAGGACCCCATACGATCCCCTGGAATGACCCCTGAGTACAGAGTACAGAGCAGGAGCAAGGCCTGAGCACTGTGAGATATGACAAGAAGAAAGCAAACCCATGAACAGAAAGAAGTTTGTATTCAGAAAATGAACTCTGTGGGACCAAAGCGATGATGGTACTGTAAGTGGGGCATTTTCCTTGCAAGTGGCCAAACCAGGTTTGAGTTCTGACATCCCATATGGTCCCCTGAGCACCACCAGGAGTAATTCCTGAGTGCAATGCCAGGAATAACCCCTGAGTACCACCATGTGTGGCCCACAAAGAAACAAAATAGAATTTGGAGGGACTGGAGAAACGGTGCAGCGGGCAGGGCACCTGCTTTGCACCCAACTGACCTGGGTTTGATTCTGGCATCCCATATGGTTCCCAGAGCAGCCCAGAAGTGATTCCTGATGGCACAGCCAGGAGTAACCCCTGAGCACTGTCATGTGTGGCCCCCAAACAACAAACAAACAAACAAACAAAACTTGGAGGTGCTGGGAAGATGCCTGTGGGTCACACTTTTTTTTTTTTTTTGTGGGTCACACTTTTGTCTTTAGCATGGAGCCTACTCCAGGGCTGGGCACTAAGTGCCCCAAAGTTCTAGAAGTTGCCTGGGGGTGGGACTTGGCAGGGTCAGGGTGGAGAATAACAGGCCCAGGCACTCACAAGAAGGCCTCCTTCCTGCGGGACTCCTTCAGAGGCTCATCCTCGTCAGCGTCGTGGCTGGAAGATGAGTGAGGTTCCGCTCTGTGGGGGCGAGAATGGAGAGTCAGCGTGAGGCCCGAGGGGGGTTGTGGGGAGGGCAGGGCTGAGGGCCGCAGTGGGAGCCTCACCTCCTGTAAGTGTCTGAGGCAGCAGCGTAGTGGAGGGGGGAGCAGCCTTTACAGTCCGCCTCGTTGACGCCCGCCCCGGCGGTCACCAGTGTGACGGCACACTGGTAGCTGCCATTGGCGGCTGCATAGTGCAGGGGCGTCCTGGGGAGAAGAGGAGGAGGAGGGGTAAGGACCAGAGATGAGAGAGAGCTCGACAGGCGGGGCATTTGCCTTGCATGCGGCCAACCCGAGTTTGATCCCCGGCACCCCACGGGGTCCCCTGAGCACTGCCAGGAGTGACTCCTGAATGCAGAGCCAGGGGAAACCCCTGAGCATTGCAGGGTGTGGTACAAAAACAAACAAACAGAAGATCAGAGACAAAGCCACATGCAGTACCCCTGGGGTCCCCCCCAATAAAAAAACTGTTCTGGGGGCTGCGGAGACAGCTCAAGGTTTAGTGCACAGGCTCCGCTAGCAGGAGGCTTGGTTCCTGGCAGCACCTGTTGCCCCTCCCAGCGCCCTGAAGAGAAACCCCCAAGCAACACACTGGGAGAAGTCATGAGCACCACCAGCTCAGAGCCCGGCTCCCTGCAGACTTCCCCGGGTGCCTCCCAGCGCCCCCCACACCTCTATACAGACCTTCCAAATTTGTCTCTCCGCCTCAAGTCAGCTCCACTGCTCAACAGCAGGTTTAGACATTCAACATTCCTACAAAGGAGCATGGAGTTAGTTAAGAGAGTCTCGGGCCTGGAAGGCGGTCCAAAGGACTGCGGCTCACGGTCCCTAAACATCAGGAGGGAGTGAGCCCCAAACACTGGGTTATGGCTCCAAACTGATGCAAACAAAAAGCAGGACTCTCAACGGAGGGAGTGAGGCCCACTGGGTATCTGCTCAGTCCCGGTCATCTCATTCATACTCGGTGACACAGCAGAATGCTGTCCAGCTCTTTGTTTGTTTGGGGGGGCCACACCCCACAGTTCTCAGGGTTTACTCCTGGCTCTGAACTCAGGAATCATTCCTGGCAGGGCTCAATGGCTGCTGGAGATTGCACTGAGTCTGCTGCGTGCAAGGCAGTATCCTGCTTACTGTACTATCAATTCAACCACTGGTCAGTTTTTAAATTTCATTTTTGCCTTTTGCATAACATCAGGAGGTGGGGGGGAGGGGTGTGCATTCGTTGCCAGGAATTGTATCCCGGGCTTTGGCATCTACATTCTAGTCCACAGAGCTCTCTCCAGATCTTAAAACTGCTTATCTTTTCCCTTTCTTTCTTTTCTTTTCTTTTTTTTTAATTTTGTTTTTGGGTGGTGCTCAGCACTTACTCCTGGCTTTGCACTTAGGAATCACTCCTGGTGGGGCTCAAGGGACCATATAGGGGCCAGGAATTGACCCCGGGTCAGCAGCATAAGAGGCAAGTGATTTAGGCGCTGCAGTACATCTATCTACATTATATTACACTGTAGCAATATATAGCTTTGCCCCACCCCCTAAGCAGTTTTGAAACAAACTGTAGAATTCTGTGTTTACCTTTCTTTTTTTTTTTTCCCTTTTGGGTCACACCCAACGATGCTCAGGGGTTATTCCTGGCTCTGCACTCAGGAATTACTCCTGGCAGTGCTTGGGGGACCATATGGGATGCCGGGGATCGAACCCAGGTCGGCCGCGTGCAAGGCAAACGCCCTATCCACTGTGCTATCACTCTGGCCCCCTGTGTTTACCTTTCTTGATCTGCTCAAGAACAGGAATTCTTTGGGGAAAGAAAACATGTCACTAGAGGGTGGGAGAGAAACTGTACATAGTGCAGGAAAAGTGAGGACTAGTGAAGGAATTGGTGTTGAAACATTGTATGCCTGGCACTCAATCATGAATAACTTTGTAACATTGTGATTAAACATTTAAAAGAAAAAAGAATCAATGACAGCTTAGGGAAGACCAGGAAGATAGTTCAGCAAGTAAGATGTCTGCCTTGCTGTGTGGCCAATCTGAGTTTGAGCCCAGAGACTTATACGGCCCCTCAATTCCTCTAGGAGTGACTCCTGAGCACAGAGACTGGAGTACTTGCTGAACACCATCAGGTATGGCCACAAAAATAAAATGAAAAACTGAAGAAGGGCTAAGGAGACAGCTCAGAGGGTCAGAGTGCGTGCCTTGCAGGGGCGAGGTCCTGAGTCCCATCTGCAGCTTGGCAGGGCTCCCCTCTAGGGCTGCTTGGGAGCGTCCCCCAAAAGAGAGTCTAAAACGTCAAGAATCGGGGCCAGAGAAATAGTACAGAGGGCAGGGTGCTTGCCTGTCCAATTCCCAGCATCCATATGGTCCCCTAAGCACCTCCAGGTGTGACTCCTGACGTGGGGAGTGATAATACAGCAGGTAAGGCATTTGCCCTGAACATGGCCAACCTGGGTTCGATCCCTGGCATCCTATGTGGTCCCCCAAGCACCACCAGAAGCAACTCCTGAGTGCAGAGCCACTGCTGCATGTGGCCCAAAAAGCAAAACAAAACTCAAGAATCTTTGTACGAAACACAATTTACAACATTCTGGGCGCCTTTATTTCTTCCCTCCTTTGTCTATGTTCAGAATGCTAGATATTTCTGAACTTCGATAACAGTAATAACAGCATTATTTTCTTTTTAAGCAGGGGAGGAGTGACGGGGCGTGGCTCAGTGGTAAAACACACGCCTTGCATGCGTGAGGCCCTGGGTTTCATCCCTAGCACACAGGCAAAAAGGCAAAGACCACCAGGGTGTTGGGAAGCCCTCCGCCCCGGTGCCAGATGGCCCTTCGGCTGTGACCGCTCTCACGACTGCCCCTCAGGCTAGGCAGGGTGGGGACTCACCCTCCAGAAGCAGCAGCATGAAGACAGGTGCGGCCAAGGTTGTCGGGGGTATTGATGTCGAACCCAGCTGAGAGCACGTGCTCGTTGCTGAGTGAAGACACGATGCTGTACAGCTGACCTGCGGGAGGACAGGGGTGAGGGGGATGCCGAGCTAAGTGGCCACACCCTGGCCTCCCAGGGCCCGGCCCACCACCCTGCACCTGCTCCACGCCTACCTGAGGAAAGAAGCTTGCGACAACAGTCAGAGAATCCAAAGAGGACAGCTAAGTGCAGGGGGAACATGTCGTGGATGCCGCGCCTGGGGGACAGGGAGGGCCTTGGGTCAGGGGTCGTGAAGAGACCAGCTGGGGGTGAGGCGCCCTCTCACAGAGTTGCCCCGCGGGGGCAGACCGGCTCTCCGTGTTGGGGGCGAGCGGACTGACTCACCGGGCGGTATCCGCGCCATTGGTCATGAGGGTGCTGATGAGCAGCTCGTGTCCGTAGCGTGCAGCCACGTGCAGTGGCGTGTTCCCAAATTTGTCGGCACAATCGATCTCGCTGCCTGGGGGGACGGCAGGGGGCACACACGCAAACTCAAGCGGAGCCCTCACCTCAGCCCACTCACCCGAGTTAGTCATAGCTGATGCTTATGACACGCCAGAGCCGGACCAAGTGTCCGCCATGATTTCTCTTGCTTGGGAAGGACACCCCCAGGTGGGCAGGGCAGGGGGCGCCATGCAGAGATCCCGATGCCCACGATTAGGGAATCGGTTGGAAGGTGGACCAGGGCCAGAGTGACAGTACATCAGGTAGGGTGTTTGCCTAGCTCGCGGCCGACCTGGGTTCAATCCCCGGCATCCCATATGGTTCCCCAAGCACCGCCAGGAGTAATTCCTGAGCACAGAGCCAGAAACAACCCCTGAGCATTGTTGGGTGTGACCCAAAAAGCAAAAAAAAAAAAAAAAAAGAAGCTGGACTAAGGAAGGAAAGGGGTTCAGGGGCTCAAGGATAGTTTGCTGGGGTTGGGGAGTGAGTACGCGATGACTCCCAAATTCGTACCATTCTGTATGAGGATCTGGGAGCGGGTGAAACGGCCATGGATGGCAGCCATATGCAGAGGACTTTTTCCTTCCTTGCTCTGCGGAAACAAGGCATTTTATGTTTGTCTGTTTGTTTTCCAGTGTAGGACATGGACAATGCCCAGTAGCCCGTTCCAAAGGACCCACCCTGAGGACAGAGGGCTTGTGTGGACATCTCCATTCACATGCTCCTGGATCCCTGGCCAGGTCTAATCCAGGGCTTTTAACTGTTTTACAGTGGCTGCTGAAAACCACTGGTCCAATAAACCCAGGAGAAAAGTAGACAGTTCCCAGGGAATTGATTATTCAGACGGGAAGACCAGTCAGGACTGCCCAGCCCAGGTCCTCTCCCCGTCCATCGGTCTCGGTCTCATCCCTCCATGCACCTGGTAGTTGACATCTGCCCCGTTATTGACCAGGAGCTCCAAGCAAAGTGCGCCGTTGGTGGAGACTGCCGCCACATGCAGTGGCGTGAAGCCCTTGTCGTTCGGCTGGTTGACGTTGGCTCCGGCATTCACCAGCTCAATAGCCACAGCATCCTGGCCCAGGTAGCAGGCGATGTGCAAAGCTGTGTTTCCAAAAGCATTGGGCTCATCGATCTGGATTTCCAGGGGCAAGAGTAAGGGGGGTATCAGTTTGAGCAAAGCAGAAACCGTCACGAGAACCCAGACAACTTAGAGAACCCCTGAAATCCGATGACTGTCTGAGTCTCCTCAGTTTCAGCTTCCTGATCTGAAAGTCTCAAGGCACGACTGTTTTGTTTGGAGGCCAAAGCTGGCATTGCTCAGGAACTACTTCCGGAAGAGCTCGGGCGACCAAATGAGATGCTGGGGATTAAACCTAGGTCCGCCACGTGCAAGGCAAGCCCCCTACCTACTATACTATCTTGCTCCAGACCCCTCTCTGAGGGCACTATTCTTTTTTTTTTTTTTGCTTTTTTTTTTGGGGGGGGGTCACACCCGGCAATGCACAGGGATTACTCCTGGCCCTTCGCTCAGGAATTACTCCTGGCGGGGCTCAGGTGACCATATGGGATGCTGGGAATCAAACCCGGGTCGGCCGCATGCAAAGCAAATGCCCTACCCGCTGTGCTATCGCTCCAGCCCCTCTGAGGGCACTATTAACAAGAAAAATCCCTCCGGGCCTTCTCACCTCGGGCTCCTGACCTCAAGCCCCCGCCTTTAGCCCCCAGAGCCCTGACCTCAGCCCCCATCCGGAGCAGGTACTTCACCACTTCAATCTGGCCACTGGCAGCAGCGGTGTGGAGCAGCCCATAGCCCTTGCGGTCCTTGCAGCCGAGGTCTGCTCCCCGCGCCACCAGCAGCTTCAGAACCTCCAAATGCCCTGTGAGAGGAAGAGGGAGAGAGGGAGAGAGAGGCAATTAGAGACAGAGAGAGAAGAGACATTTCCAAGGAAGGGGAGGGTCACCAGTCAGTTTCTGCAACCCTCTGCTCTCTCTCCAAAGGTGGCAAATCGTCACCCGGCCTGTGGGAGTCCCGCCGGCCCCAAAGCCTCGCTCACCTAGGAACGCTGCCCAGTGCAGAGGCTGCCGGTCCTTCTTGTCGCAGACATTCAGGCTGGCTCCTTTGTTGAGAAGCAGGTTCACCGTCTGCATTGGGATAGGAGAGACACCGGCTCAGAGCCAGACCCACGCTCCCACGGCTTCCGCAGGGCCCTCCCTCTAGCCTGACCGCGCACTGGATGCTGGAGCCCAGCGCTTGTGGGACCATTCAGGCTGCCTCTCCTGGGGCCTGACAACTGAGGAGCCAGGCAGGGGGACCCATCAAGGACAGAGGGAGGGGGGCGCCGGAGGGTCCTCACCTCGAGATGCCCACTGTGGACTGCATGGTGCAAGGCACTGCGTCCGCTCCTGTCAGCCACGTTGAGGCTGCTCAGCAGGGGTGCCAGCGCCTCAGCGCACTTGGTGGCCCGGTTGGCAGCGGCCACATGCAGCGGTGTCTGCCACAGCTTGTCTCGGGCATTGACATCTGCTGAGTGTGCCAGCAGCAGCCCCAGCACCTTCTGTTGAGGGGCGAAGGAAATGGAGAGACCTTAGCCAGGGAGTGGGAGTGACACCAGCTAGGGCGTTAGAAGCGGGAGGGACAGGTGGGCACAGCACATGCGGCCCCACCTCCCCTGCTCACCTTCCCAACACACCTGGCCTTCTAATAACTACTGGATCTTTTTGGAGTTTCAAAGAGATCCACTGCTTTTTTTTTTTTTTGGCATCACATCCAGCAATGCACAGGGGTTATTCCTGGCTCATGCACTCAGGAATTACTCCTGGCGGTGCTCAAGGGACCATATGGGATGCTGGGAATCGAACCTGGGTTGGCTGCACACAAGGCAAACAAACACCCTACCTGCTGCGCTATAATTCCAGCCCCTTCACTGCCTTCTTGAGGAAAGCCTAGGCCCCTGCCTTTTCCCTCCTGTGATCATTACCCAAGCCATTACCCTCAAACATCTCTCTTCCCTACTACTCTGAGAAAAAAAAAAAAGAATTACCAGGGATAGGATCACAGCAAAGCCCTTGCCTTGCATGTGTGAGGCTGTGGGCTTGAATCCCTAGATACACACACACACACACACACACACACACACACACTCCAGCTCCACAAATGCCTTAACATGCTCCTTGAGCCCTTCAAAAGGCAGCAGTCATTCCCATGGCCTCGATGAACAAGATACTGACTGCTCTCCAAATCCAGGCTCCAGGCCTCTCCTCGTCACCACCTTCCCAACTGGCCAAGAGAAGGTCTCCTTTACCGCTCCTCATAGCAGAGAGGCCCAATGACTGAGGCATCTCTGACCTTTAGGCTGTCAACCTGATGCTTCACGAGGCGCAGGGAGGCACCAGACCAGCACCCCCATCCTCCTTAGCAACAAGAGAAACCTTAGAGCCCAGCAGGGGATTAGGCGCCAAGGTGGCCCCCCAGGGAGGAATGAGTCCCCTCGCAGTCTGCCAGCCCAGTGTTAAGCTCTCTCCCCTGCGTCAAGGCAGCTGGCAACACTCGGCCCCCCTCACTAGCCAATTCTGGGGGCTGGCTGAGGTCTGGCCAACTCCCTTCTGGGAAGACACCAGCACGTCGGGCACGGGACGGAGGCTGTCCAGGCCAGCACCTCTACCCTCAACGTATCACCTCCTTGGGAGGTTTGTGAAAGGAGAGGGGACACCTGTACCTCATTTCGGGAGGCAGCAGCACGATGAAGAGGGGTCAGCCACAGTGTGTCCTTAGCGTTGACATTAGCACCTGTGGGGATAGAGGGGTACAGAAGAGAGCCAGTCATCTGGCCTGTATCGCGCGAGGCCTCGCCTGGAACAAATGCTGGAGAACAATACTTGGGTATTGGGGGAAGAAAAAAGAGGGGCTCCTCCCCTTGGGTCCCTCCCCGGGAGACACACCTTCCCACTCCCCACTTTCACCTGACATCAGTAGCAACTGGAGGATGGGGACATCGCCTACGTAGGCAGCAGCATGCAGTGGGGTTCGCCTCTCTTGGTCCTGGGAAGACAGAAAAGGGGGGGTCCCCAGCCCAAGTCTTAGCACGCCAGACTTTCCCCCCACAGTCTCCACCCCATGGGTTCTGGAGCCAATCTAAGGTCAAAGCCAGCACGCAGGGAGGAGGGGGACCCGGGTCAGAGCCACTGGACTGGCCAGGCAGTCTCCTGCTTCCCGGAGGGGTGGGGGCGCTGCAGACACCCACAGTTCAGAAGCGAGCCCCGTTTCTGGGCATCCTCGCTCCGGGCCCCACCGACGTGTGCTGGGCGCGCGACCGGCCGGAGCGCACAGCCTCATCCCCGGGGTGCCCGGGCGGGCCGGGAGGGGTCGGACACCGGCTCGCCATCCTCGGGGCTTCCGACTCACCAGCACGTTGATGTTCTCCTTCTGCGAGAGCAGGGATCGTACTTCCTCCACATCTCGGCTAAAGATGGCCTGGACCAGGGGCGGCTGCAGGGAGAACCGGCGTTCAGGCAGCGGGCCGGGGCCGAAGCGGAACCGGAGCGAGAACGGGCGGGGGGGGGAGGGTGACACCAGATTTGGGGGGAGCGTCACGGAAGGGGCTCCGCTCCGGGGTCCGGGTCGCAGGGGGGTCGCCGCGGGTCGCCGGGCCCCCCCTTCCCCCAAGGACACGGGTTCGGGGGCTGAGGGGAGCGCGGCGTGGGGCGGGGCGGGAGCTGCGGGAGACCCGGGCTCGGGCCCAGGCTAGGCCGCACATCCCCGGGCTCGCGTGGCGGCGGCGCCGGGACCTGGAAGGAGGAAGCCGGCCGGGCCGGGCGGCTGACCTGGTCTGTGATGCTGAGGATCCCCATGGCCCGGCCCGGGCTCCGTCCGCATCGAGCTCCCGGCGGCAGCGGCGGCGGCTCCACCGGGGACACGGGGCGGCCCAGGCGGCGGCTGCGGCGGCGGCTGCGGGGAAAGCGCGGCCCCGCCTACCGGGGGGCGGGCGAGCGGGAGCCCGCAGCGCTCCCTGGCGGCCGCCCGGGGCCCGGCGCTGCCCTGCGGCCCGCCCGGGGCTCCGCCGCGCCGCGCGCGCCGCCGCCCCGCCACCCGCGACCCGCTGCGCGTTGCCCGCGGCTTCCGTCCGGGGCCCCGCGGGGCGCTGCGACCCGCTCCCGGGGGTCGGGGGACTGGATCGTGCGCGCTTCTCGATCTCAGCCGTCGGCTCCGCGGACAGCCCCCGGGGTCACGAGCCCCCAGACGCCCAAGACTTGGGAAAGAGGGTCGGGGGGTGGCGTGGCGTCAGATCGGGGGATTTCCTGTCGCAAATCGTCCCAGGCGGGGCAAAGGCGCCAGTCCCCACCGTGGGCTATGTGTGACCACACTTGAGTTGGGCAGAAAACATCCAGTAAAAAAAGTGCTGGAATAGCATACATATGTATTACATGTATGAGGCCTGAACCCCAGGGACAGAGACAGACAGAGAGAGAAATTTGTTGTCTCTATAACTATAGGTCTGTAGAGACATAGAGAGGCAACCAACCATCAAACAAAGAAAAAGACTGGTCAAGACCGAAGCCATAGTACGGCAGGTGGGGCACTTGTGTTGCACACGGATGACCCAGATTCCATCTCTCCTACCCCAAATGGTCCCTGAGAACCCCAGGAGTGATTCCTGAGTGCAGAGCCAGGAGCAAACCCTGACATTTACTGGGTTAGCCCCCCCAAAAAAAAGCAGAAAGAAAAAAATAAACCCTTGTAATTTTATGATTTATTTTTGGTGCAAGGGGAGCAAACTCAAGGGCCTCAGGTCACCAACCCCTTTTTGTGTGGTTTTACTTCCGGACTATATTCTGCAGTGCTCAGGGGCTACTTCCTGCTGGGTTCAGGGGTCCAGCTGGCCACTCGCACTCCAGACATGTGAGCCCTTGAGCCATCTTCCTGCCTCACTTGTTTGTGGGGAGGTGCCACACCCAATGGAATCGCACCTGGTGGTCCTCGGGCAGCAGGATGCTGTTCCAGGGATGCTGCCTGGATGCTTCCCAGTCCAACCCTGTGCAAAACAAGTGCCTTACTCTGCACCATCTGTCCAGCTTCCTCTGTTTTGTTTCTTTGGTTGCTTGGTTTGGGGGATCTCTAACCCAACTGCGATGGGGGCTAGTCCTGGCTCTGTGCTCTCCAGGTCAGTCCCAAAGTGCAGCATATGGGGGAGCACCAGGCAGGACCAGAGATCAAACCTGCTCTCCTGGATGCAAAGCATGTGCTCAACCCACTGGGCTATGACTCTGCCCATCTATTTTGTTTCACTTGGGTGAGGGGGTCACCTGGCAGTGCTCAGGGCTTACTCCTAGCTCTGTACTCTGGGGACCACTTCTAGTGATACTTAAGGGGCCAAATCTGGTACGAGGATTAAACCAGGGTTGGTCATATGCAAGGCAATGCCTTAATCCTTGTACTGTCTCTCAGTTCCTTGTTGTTTATTTTGATAGAGTCCTCCCCAGTAAGCCCTGAGCATTACATGGTTTGCCCCCCTCAAAAAAAATTAAATGAGTCCTCCCCACACTTGCCATACACTGCCCCACCCCAGTATCAACTTCAGTTCCACATGGTGCCTGAGCGTAGAGCCAGAAGTAGACCCTGAGCATCCCCAGAAATGACAAAATAAACAAACAAATAAAAATGTCCTCCCCTGTGTTACCCAGCCAGAGTCAACTCTGTGCTTCTCTGCCCTGCAGTGGGAAGTTAGATACTTGGACCTGCCCACACTCAGACCCTGACATTCACACTAGGAGTTGTGGTAGCACTTGGCCCTGGAGTCCAAGGGGTTTCCAGGGCTGCCTAGGAGTGGCCACAGTGGCCATGTGGCACCAAAGACTGAAATCAGGGCCCCCAACATGTGCTCCATTCTTTTGAGTTATCTCCCAGTCTCAAGACCAATACTGTGAATATGGTCAGATGGCAAAAAAAGAAACCTAAAAAAAACAAAAAACAAAAAAACATTTGCAAAAGAGATTCTGTGAATTGATGCCTGATGGCTAAGGAAGGCCTGAAGAAGAGGAGCGCTTTCGGTTTGAATCCCAATTCCATTCACTGCCAGGGAGAGATGACAGGGCCCATACTTCAGAAGTCTCCAGGATTTCTCTCCAAACAAGAGTTAGAGTGTTTCCTCTTTTCTATTGCAGAAGCCAGAGAGCAATAAGGTAAAGGTAAAGGTAAAGGCCCTCCCGTTGATCGTCGATTTGCTCGAGCGGGCCCAGTAACGTCTCCATTGGAGACTTTGTTGTTACTGTGTCTGGCATATCGAATACTCTCGGTAGCTTGCCGGGCTCTCCGAGAGGGGCGGAGGAATCGAACTCGGGTCGGCCATGTTGGCCGCGTGTAAGGCGAACGCCCTACCCGCTGTGCTATCGCTCCAGCCCCTAAGCAATAAATCAAGGAAATCCAGCAATAAATCAAGGAAAAACTAAGTGGATGTTATACCAGTCCAAAAAAGGATAACAGGGCCAAAGAGACAAAACGGAGGTTAAGGTATTTGCCTTGAATTGGATCACTGGGACCATATGTAGTTCCTGAATACCACCAGTAGTGAGCCCTGAGTGAAGAGCCAGGAGTAAGCCAGGAGCATAGACTGGGGAGGGAAGGAAGGAGGAAGGTAGGAAGGAAGAGAGAGACAGAGACAGAGAAAGAGAAAGAGAGAAAGAAAGATAAGGAAAGATAAAGAAAGCAAGCAAGCTAAAAAAGAAGTTACGACTTCTAATAGGTGATTCAGAGTCCTGTCTAAACCTTGGAACAATTTACTATGGAATACTGAAGCTGAAGAGACAGTTTAGAGGATAGAACACTTGATTTTTTTCAGAGTGGACCTGGGTTTGATCCCCAGCACTATATTGGTCCCCTGATTACCACTAGGAGCAATTCCTGAGTCCAGATACAGCAGTAAGCCCTGAGCACCTCCAACTATGGCCCCGAACAAAAACAATATGTGTTCTAAGATGGAAACTTTTGTTTTTTTTTGCTTTTTGGGTCATACCTGGCGATGCACAGGGGTTCCTCCTGGCTCTGCACTCAGGAGTTACTCCTGGCAGTGCTCAGGGGACCATATGGGATGCTGGGAGTCGAACCCAGGTCGGCTGCACCCAGGTCGGCCGCGTGCAAGGCAAACGCCCTACCCGCTGTGCTATCTCTCCAGCTCCCTAAGATGGAAACATTTTAAAGTTTTTGTTTTTGGAGTCACATCTACCAGTGCTCCCGGAAACCATAGGATTGAGCTTGAGTCTCCAGAATGCTAAGTATGTTCTCTCCTGCCTGGGAACATCATTGAAAAGAGTTGAGGGGCCAAGGAGATAGCTCCTGATGGGCTGGAGCACATGTGCTTTTCATATTGGGGTCCTGATAAGTCCAATCTGGCAACACATGGTCCTCTATGCACCACAGAGTGCCATGCGAACTCCACTCGCCACTAGTGAGTGGGACGTAGGTCTCCAAGCACGGTCAGGTGTGGCCCAAAAAGAAAAAAAAAGCAGAAAAAAGGGAAGTGGAGGGATTGTGCAGTAGGTAGGGCACTTAATTGCCTTGCAAGTGGCTGACCTGGGTTCATTTCTCAGCACCCCATATAGTCCTCCAAACCCTCCAGGAAAGGTCCCTGGTTGCAGTGTCAGGAGTAAGCCCTAAAGTACTGCCCAGTATGGACACCCCCCCCTTTAAAAATACCCCTTTAAAAAAAAGCAGAAGTATAATATGCTGAGGCTGGAGTGATAATACAGTGTGTAGGGTGCTTGCTTTGCACATGGCCAACCTGGCTTCAATTCCTGGCATCCCATATTGTCCCCTGAGCACTGTCAGGAGTAATTCCTGAGTGCAGAGCCAGCAGTAACCTTTAAACATTCCCATGTGGGACCCAAAAATGAAATAAGTTTTTAAAAAAATTAATGCCCTCCCTCAGGGCTGGAGGGATAGTATAGCAGGTAGGATGCCAGCCTTGCATATAGCCAAGCTGAGTTTGATCCCCAGCACCACATATATAGCCCCCTGAGTACCACCAAGAGTGATCTCTGAGTACTGCGCCAGGAGTAAGCCCTTAGCACTGCATGGTGTGACCCAAAAACCAAACATAAATAAAATAAAAATGTCCTCCCTCTTAATTCCAATAATCTATATTGCTTCCAATATCTTGATTCACACCAGAAGGATAAACAAGACATTGGGGGGTTGGAACCATAGCACAGTGGGGGTAGGGCATTTACTTTGCACGCGGCCGACCCAGGTTCGATTCCCAGCACCCCATATGGCCCCCCAGCACTGCCAGGAGTGATTCCTGAGTGCAGAGCCAGGAGTAACCCCTGCGCATTGTTAAAATTAAACAAGACATTTGTAATTGCTTTCTCTTGGAGAAATTCAGGGACAGGGAATGTGGAATGTACTTATACCTTAAATATTTATTTTTTTTAGTTTGCCTTTGGGCTACACCTGGTTATGCTCAGACCTTACTCCTGTCTCTGTGTCGAAGGATCATCCCTGGCAATCTCAAGGGACCATATGTAGTGCTAGACATTGAACCCAGGTCAGCCATAACCAAGGCAAGGACCCTACTCATTGTATTATGCTACACTCGCTGGGCCAATATTTACAAATAAATATGGGGCTGGAGGATAGGTCAGAGGATAGGACACTTGCCTGCAAGCGGCTGACCTAGATTCAATGCCCAGCATTCCATATGGTCCCCCGAACCTGGCCAGAAGTAATGCCTGAATGTAGTCAGGAGTAATCCCTGAGCAACCCCAGGCGTGGCAGAAAAAAATAAAGAAAGGAAGAAAGAGAGAGAAAGAAAGAAAGAAAGAAAGAAAGAAAGAAAGAAAGAAAGAAGAGAGAAAGAAAAGAACGGAAGGAAGAAAGAAGAAAGAAAGAAAGAAAGAAAGAAAGAAAGAAAGAAAGAAGGGAGGGAGGGAGGGAGGGAGGGAGGGAGGGAGGAAGGAAGGAAGGAAGGAAGGAAGGAAAAGAAAGAGGGAGGGAGAGAGGAAAGAAAGAAGGGAAGAGGAAGGAAGGAAGAAAAGAAGGAAGGAAGGAAGGAAGGAAGGAAGGAAGGAAGGAAGGAAGGAAGGGAAGATAAAGAGATTTTTTCTTTTGAAAGGAAGGAAGGAAGGGAAAGAAAGAAAGAAGGAAGGAAGGAAAGAAGGAAAGAAAGAAAGAAAGAAAGAAGAGAGAAAGAAAAGAATGGAAGGAAGAAAGAAGAAAGAAAAAAGAAAGAAAAGGAAGGAAGGAAGGAAAAGAAAGAGGGAGGGAGGGAGAAAAGAAAGAAGGGAAGAGGAAGGAAGGAAGAAAAGAAGGAAGAAAGGAAGAAAGGAAGGAAGGAAGGAAGGGAAGATAA